ACAATGTGAACAAATACAAAACATCAAATAGAAGTACCTATCCCCTTCCGCTTTATCAATATCCAATTTTTCATCAATTTTTGTATCTCATTTCTTATATATTCTAATTGAACTTAAAGTATTTCGGCTACAAATAAATAAAAATGAAATGCAGTACTAACTTAAGAAAATAAGTTTTATTTTTCTATGAGCACATGCAAAATTACGTATTATTTTTATATATTAAAAAGTTCTATTTCACTAATGCAATAAAAGCAAATAATATCACTATGATAATATAAGACATATAATCGATTACTTCTGTCTAGGATCAAATATACAAATCAATTAACATATAATATTTAAAAATAATAAACTAACATCGTCGAACCTTTGAAAGTTACAAATTTATTAAGTTTCATGATTTAAGTAATGCATAACACTTTACCTTATAATACATCTATTTAGTATGTGTATACGTTGTTTTAAATAATAAATACACCAAAATTCACTTGTTACTTCATGATGCGACACGCGTAAAAGAAAAATTTTATGTAAATCAACTTGTTGAGAATAAAATCAGGAGCAGGAGTAAAAAGATTAATTTAAATTGGAGAAGGATGAAGCGGTGGACAGGCAACCCCCAGCCCCTAGCAACACCCACCACCTTGCGTGTTTCCATGCCCACCAGTACCTGCTAAATCACCAGCACTTGTTGGGGAATTTTGTGGTCCAATTTTGATGCCATTTGCCTACACACATTTTTGATACATTACTAACAATTACAGAAAGATATGTCAATAATATTGTATAATATGTCTTTCATTTTACCTCATTGTTTATATCAAAGACACCTTCTTGAATTTTTTCGTAAATTACTTTTGCTGTATTAATAAACGCTTCTTCTACGTTAGCAGCTGTCTTTGCACTCGTTTCCATAAAAACAAGTCCATGTTCCCTTGCGAATGCTTCACCTTCTTCTCTCTTGACTTCCCGCTTATTGTCTAGATCACTTTTATTACCAATTAACATGATCACCATATTAGAATTTGAATGCTGACGTGCATCTTCTAACCAGGTTGTCAAATGATTAAATGTTTCTCTCCGTGTGATATCATATACTAACAAAGCTCCTGCTGCTCCACGATAGTATGAACGTGTAATAGAACGAAATGCTTCCTGCCCTGCCTGTAAATCAAAAAATCTTATTAACACTTCTTTCCACAAGATAGACTATTATTTAATTTATTCATAATAACGATTAACATTTGAAAAATTATGAAGTTATAAATGACAAATACATAAACTTGTCTTGGTTTTTAGAGAAAATAGTTAAATAAAAAAAAATAAGAATTAACATTTTGCTTAGAACTGCATAAATCTTTACATTTTATGATTATACTTAATGTATATAGTATTCTAAACCTATATCCATTATTGTATCAAATTTATTACATTACCAAGTTCTTCTATTGAATATATAATATGTAACAAATTATTTTATGAGATATATTTTATTATATGATTAATTAATAATTACAGTATCCCAAATTTGGAGCTTGATCTGCTTTCCATCAATCATAATCATTCGGGCTCCAAACTCAACACCTATTGTTAGATCATGCACGGGTTGAAATCTCTTGTCCGTGAATTGAAGGAGAAGACATGACTTGCCAACCCCTAATTAAGAAATTAGGTAATATTTGTATATTTTTTAAATATTAACAATTAATAAACATTTATTATTATGCCAGTAAATAAAATTAATATTATAATATAATTATTAACGATGCTAACAATATTTTTCATAAAATTTAATGAATCTACACATAAAGATTCTTCAAAAATAAATTTTGATTGAAATGCATTAAATGACTTCTTTCGCTTGCTTGGTCCAACGATACTTAAAGTTAAGAAAAAAGTTCAAGAATGAATGACACTGATATTCTGAATAATGATAGTAAACAAAATGATAATAATATTCTAGTAATAATATCTAGAAAAAATGTATGTTTAGAACTTTAAATTATTCATATCTTAATCATGTAACATTCATTCCACAACGATATTCCATACGGAGTCTATTGTTAATATAAATAAACTAGCACGGAGTTTTCTAATTGGAATAGCTATTATAAAAAAATAACGTGCATGATTGAACGATTCCACAAAAAATACATGATTTTTATTGATAAATGTCATCATAACGACTGTACATTAGAAGATCTGTAATAATTTTATAATCTGCAAATGAAAAATACTACAAAGAAGAAAAACGAAAACAATGGGTCCTGTCACGGTCGACGTAGTGGAGAATATACGTAGGTACCACTTTCACAACGTTTGCTTATAAAAGAGTATCGCAAATTTACCTGTATCTCCAATGATGATGTATTTAAAAAGATACGCGTACGACATTTTGAAAAATCACGCAGCTATCAAAGATATTTATACGAACTGCAATTATATTAGAAAACAGAACTGCACTTTTTTGACTGTCTTATCTCTTCTGCTTCAGCATGACGTCACTAAATCGCTTCGGCAATCCTCGGAATATTTCGTATTACAATTCGTAATCAGTCCGAGTTTCCGATATCGCGCTACTGTCGCTTCAGTCATTGATATATAATTCGCAAAGATTGACTCTATTCGAAAGCCATGACATTTTTAATTATAAATGATATACATATATGTCACGGAAAACGGTAATATAACATAATTACGATAATCTTTTGAGAAATGTAGACTTTTTTTTAAATATTTTCTCTATTCAATCATCATATGTTTATGACCAAACATACAAAGTACAATGTGATACTCCCGCCATAACTTTTGATATTGTATCGCTAATTTGGATGACCTTCGTAGCCTACATACAGACAACGTTGTCATTTTTTCAAGTTGATTTCGTCTCTTTTTTACACCATTGGATGAGAGAAGTGCATGTGTATAAAAAATTAGCTATCTTGAAAAGTGCAGTGGTATTTGAAATGTTATTAAATAGAAAGTGATGTTTAACAAATATAAACAATTTCAAACATTAAAATATTCAAAAATTAATTTTTAATCTATCATATATATAATTAAGTGTTCTGACACATTTATGTATTATGTAGATTTACATGCGAATATGTACGTGAATATAAAGTTCTAGGGCTGTATTCGTGATAAATCAACTTATGAATGATTTATAAATGAATACCTTAAATTTTGCAAGACTCTCTAGTCTTGCAAACGCGCTCTCAGCGCGTTTCGTTAGCGAGAATAGGAGTAGAAATTGTTTTGCGCTGATTGACTAATGATTCAATGCTAAGATAGAATTTACTGCGGATTGGATGCGCAGTAAAATGGTGAGGATACTTGTAAAAGCTAAGAGAGGTAGAAGAATCGTGCAAAGTCTGAGGTACATACATACAATTACTGTAATACCATGCGTACTGAAAATTGATTTTCGAAAAATACCACAATGTCATCTCTGATACACACAGGTACTTCATGCCGAAACATTAAAATTACACTAGGAAATCGCGTATAGATTAAACATTATATGTCATGTTTTAAATAAATACATATTACTAAATTTGGTATACATATTCATAGTTCCTTTATTTAATCATTTCCTGTCCATTACCATAGAAGTAATAAACCGTCGGAATGAATTGCAAAAATATCTGACGAACTGCAAGTCACATTAATGAACTTGAAAATACGTTTTCATGGCACTGTACACGAGTTGTATAGTAAATACTGTTTTAACTTATAATAGATATGAAATTTAAAGCTATTACATACAACGAAATTAAACACGATTAAGACAAAACTTTTAATTTAGATGATATGTATTATCAAACACACAATATTGTTGACCAATGAAATCTTTGTCCAATCAATTGATTGTCCAATGAGCACATAGAAATGAGCTCTGGTGGTAAGTAAAAGTAGTAAACAAGTGTATGGTGCGAATCGAGCTATCGTCGACGTCGAAGCTGTCAAACATGGCGAGAATGTCGATCTCGAGTGCTGGTCAAAAATGTGAATAGAGGTGTCGGTTTGTGGTGAGATTCGTGAATCTCGGGTGTTCTCGTCGTCGGCAGAGGCCGGCGAGAGATGCGATCGAGAGTTAGACTGTCAGGCCGAAAGTGAATGTGCCGAGTGAACGGCCCCGGCAGTTTTGCGGCCGGGATTAATGTAAGGGCATGCCAATTCGGGAACTATGGGTGCTCAACAAACTAAGGAGAGAATCGTTCCTGCCGGCTCTACCGCGCGACAGACGCGTAAACAGCCAAGAAATCTTAAGGAATCGCGGCTAGTTGGCTCCAATATATTTACCGAGCACAGTGGTAACTTCCTTTCCTTATTTTCATCCTACTCCTTTGCTTTTTATCTTCTATTTCTTTCTCGCTTCCGCCCATTTTTCTGTTCTCTTTCTCTCATACTTTCTTTCCTTCTCGCTCTGTTTCTTGCCTAGTCTCGTTCTCCCTACCTTCTCTCTCTCTCTCTCTCTCTCTCTCTCTCTCTCTCTCTCTCTCTCTCTCTCTCTCTNGTCTTGCAAACGCGCTCTCAGCGCGTTTCGTTAGCGAGAATAGGAGTAGAAATTGTTTTGCGCTGATTGACTAATGATTCAATGCTAAGATAGAATTTACTGCGGATTGGATGCGCAGTAAAATGGTGAGGATACTTGTAAAAGCTAAGAGAGGTAGAAGAATCGTGCAAAGTCTGAGGTACATACATACAATTACTGTAATACCATGCGTACTGAAAATTGATTTTCGAAAAATACCACAATGTCATCTCTGATACACACAGGTACTTCATGCCGAAACATTAAAATTACACTAGGAAATCGCGTATAGATTAAACATTATATGTCATGTTTTAAATAAATACATATTACTAAATTTGGTATACATATTCATAGTTCCTTTATTTAATCATTTCCTGTCCATTACCATAGAAGTAATAAACCGTCGGAATGAATTGCAAAAATATCTGACGAACTGCAAGTCACATTAATGAACTTGAAAATACGTTTTCATGGCACTGTACACGAGTTGTATAGTAAATACTGTTTTAACTTATAATAGATATGAAATTTAAAGCTATTACATACAACGAAATTAAACACGATTAAGACAAAACTTTTAATTTAGATGATATGTATTATCAAACACACAATATTGTTGACCAATGAAATCTTTGTCCAATCAATTGATTGTCCAATGAGCACATAGAAATGAGCTCTGGTGGTAAGTAAAAGTAGTAAACAAGTGTATGGTGCGAATCGAGCTATCGTCGACGTCGAAGCTGTCAAACATGGCGAGAATGTCGATCTCGAGTGCTGGTCAAAAATGTGAATAGAGGTGTCGGTTTGTGGTGAGATTCGTGAATCTCGGGTGTTCTCGTCGTCGGCAGAGGCCGGCGAGAGATGCGATCGAGAGTTAGACTGTCAGGCCGAAAGTGAATGTGCCGAGTGAACGGCCCCGGCAGTTTTGCGGCCGGGATTAATGTAAGGGCATGCCAATTCGGGAACTATGGGTGCTCAACAAACTAAGGAGAGAATCGTTCCTGCCGGCTCTACCGCGCGACAGACGCGTAAACAGCCAAGAAATCTTAAGGAATCGCGGCTAGTTGGCTCCAATATATTTACCGAGCACAGTGGTAACTTCCTTTCCTTATTTTCATCCTACTCCTTTGCTTTTTATCTTCTATTTCTTTCTCGCTTCCGCCCATTTTTCTGTTCTCTTTCTCTCATACTTTCTTTCCTTCTCGCTCTGTTTCTTGCCTAGTCTCGTTCTCCCTACCTTCTCTCTCTCTCTCTCTCTCTCTCTCTCTCTCTCTCTCTCTCTCTCTCTCTCTCTCTGTCTGTCTCTCTGTCTCTCTCTCTTTTTCTTCTTTACACTCGTATATTTTGCTTACTATTAAAACGGATATTAAATATAAAAAATTATCAATTATTTAAAGGTCATGATAAATTGCACGAAAAAATTCCCTAGTCAAAAATAAAAGCTGGATTATGTAATTAATACACACATACGCCTACATATGTATGTATACGATATCCTTATTAAATTAATGATTGGTTGTTAACTTTTAATTATTTGTGGAAAAAACTAATTATGAACGTGCTTTAAATTGGAAATTAGCTTCTCACTCTACAGTTCACTTACTCTTTATAGAAATTGATTTCTTATTCTTAGTTGTTACTGGTATTTTGAATATAATTATTTCTTTAATCAAATGCATATAATCTTTTTACTACATTGTGCGTAGATATCTATTACATCTGTGTTAATATTTGAATAAATTATTGTTTTACATGTTAGAATATAAATGTATGCATTATTCAATAGAATAATAAAAAACATTACATTTGCTTAATAATTTGTATGATGTTGCACAGAAGCTCTTTTGCAAAGCAGACCGCTACCTCACATTCCGGCATTGCCAGATGGTGATCCTCCAAGCGGTTCCGGCATTCAGCCAATTTCACAGCAAGTAAATATTCAACAACATACTGGTGTTCCTTCAACAGGGCTTTTAGAAGCTGCAAACAGGTTAATATTTATTATTATTATTTCTAAACCTGATTTTTTTACCATTTTTTAGCATTTTATAAATGTATTGAATATATTGTATATGATTACTTTAAATTTATGTTCAGTTGTATAAATCAGAGGACATTTTTTTAAGAATAAAATCATACAGAAATATATAAATAAATTAAAAAATTTTTAATTTGTAGGTGGACCAGTAAGGAAAACCTATTAGCTCAAGAAGAGGATGATCCACAATTGTTTGTTGCTCTCTATGATTTTCAAGCAGGAGGAGAGAATCAGCTTAGTCTTAAGAAAGGTAATGGTTTATGATTCCTATTTATTTAAGTCTTCCGCAATATGATTTTTTGGTATAAAAAAAATACATATATTTTACCCTAAAAAGAAACGTAATGTCTAAATTATACATTAAATTTAGGAGAACAAGTTCGTATTCTGAGTTATAATAAAAGTGGTGAATGGTGTGAAGCTCATTCAAGTACTGGTCAAGTGGGTTGGGTTCCATCAAATTATGTTACCCCAGTAAATTCTCTAGAAAAACATTCTTGGTACCATGGAAGAATATCCAGGAATGCTGCTGAGTATTTGTTGAGTTCTGGCATAAATGGTAGCTTTTTGGTTCGTGAATCAGAAAGCAGTCCAGGTCAACGTAGTATTTCTCTGCGATATGAAGGCCGAGTTTATCATTATAGGATTAATGAAGACAGTGAAGGAAAGGTATGTCACTTGCTAGTGTATGAATTTATTTAAATTACATTTAAACATGATGTGAAGAAGTATTATTGTTTTTAGATGTTTGTCACCACTGAAAGCAAATTTAATACTCTAGCAGAACTTGTACATCATCATTCAATGCTCGCCGATGGTTTAATCACACAATTACTTTATCCTGCACCAAAGCACAATAAACCCACTGTTTTCCCACTTAGTCCGGGTAAGTTGAAAATTGTAAAAATTTCATACATCATATAGAGTAAAAAGTTTAAGATTCTATTTCATGTTAATGCTATGCTATATTACAGAACCAGATGAATGGGAAATCAATAGAACAGATATAGTCATGAGACATAAATTAGGAGGGGGACAATATGGAGATGTCTATGAAGCTGTTTGGAAGAGGTACAACATGACTGTTGCTGTAAAGACATTAAAGGTCAGTTTTATTTATTCTTATTACTTCATATAAAGTTTACTATCTTTCAGTTCTGGAAAAAATTTCTATGTACATTGTAGGAGGATACAATGGCTTTAAAAGACTTCTTAGAGGAAGCTGCCATCATGAAGGAGATGAAGCACAGAAATCTAGTTCAGTTAATAGGTGTATGTACTCGCGAACCGCCTTTTTACATCATTACTGAATTTATGAGTAAGGGGAACCTGTTAGATTATTTACGGAACGAAAGCAAACATCAAATTAATGCAGTGGTTCTGATGCATATGGCAACTCAAATCGCTAGTGGAATGAGTTACCTAGAAAGCAGAAATTTCATTCACAGGTACAAAAGTAAACACATTCGGTTTATTAGGAGAAATATTTGAAAAATTGTATTACTCTTTTCTTTTAAATAATAAGTTTACTTTAATGTCATAATTTTTTAAACAGAGATCTAGCTGCTCGAAACTGCCTAGTGGGTGAAAATCATCTAGTGAAGGTCGCTGACTTCGGCTTGGCCCGGTTAATGAGAGATGATACCTACACTGCTCATGCTGGAGCGAAATTCCCTATAAAGTGGACTGCTCCAGAAGGATTAGCTTACAATAAATTCTCTACAAAGGTGATGTAATATTTTCATTATGTTAACACTTATTATGTTAACAATATAGAATATTGACCGTCAACAATCATATTATTGTAGTCTGATGTATGGGCATTTGGAATCTTGCTGTGGGAAATAGCAACCTATGGCATGTCTCCATATCCTGGTGTTGATTTAACGGATGTGTATCATATGCTGGAAAAAGGATACAGAATGGAATGTCCGCCTGGATGTCCACCAAAAGTTTATGAATTAATGCGTCAGTGCTGGCAGTGGGCAGCTGCTGATCGGCCAACTTTTAAAGAAATTCATCACTCCCTGGAAAATATGTTTCAAGAATCCAGTATTACCGAAGGTAAAATGATTTGTATAATATGTGATATATACGAAGTGTTCGGTAACAAGCAACAATGAAATGAGAAAAGTGGTTCTTTATAATGATATAAACATGGACAATATCTTTTAAATGTGGATGAATTTATATTATTATAGAAGTTGAAAAGCAGCTTCAAGGTGGAGGAGAAATACCCTTACTATCATACAAGAAATCTCAAACTGGTAGTACTGGAAATATCCATGGACTTGTCCTTGTCTCTGAACCATTACCATCTTCAGGTACACATGTAGGAAATTTGTAGAAACTACTTACAACTGTAGTTTATAACCAAGTCTTTTTTAAACAACTTTTTATTTGAATAGTAAATATAATAATCCGTCTATTGATTTGTTACAGAAACTACTAGTTCTGTAACGAAACTGAGTACATTCACGGGTGGCTTGTCGAGTAAGAACAATAGCAGCATGGTACAGATGAGGCGTTCTACAAATAAAAAAGGAAAGCAAGCTCCAGCACCACCCAAAAGAACCAGGTACATTATTTCTCTCTTATATATTTTTTATGCAATAAAGATTTCAATTGATTGAAGCACTGACAAATGATCACACTCACGTTGATATCAAATTGGATAACAGCTTGCTGTCGTCGTGCAGTTCGTTCCGCGACTCTGCGTATCAAGAGCAAGATATTCAGAACACTGAATCGAACACCATGATTCTTGACGACGCCACGGATCTAAATGGTATTGATAAGATACTCGAAGGTATTTTCATTCTACTTTAATCGAGCGTACTGATACGTGCACGTACTGCTTCAGTTTCCTACCGTAAGCTCTGAACTCAGCTTGATGCTCGATTTCTTCTGCATCTATATCTTTCTCCCTATACTGATACATATTGGATTTGAATCGGATAGTGAATTAGAGAAATCATAAGACTAAATTTATTTAGGTATTTTTATTATTTATTTTCTTACTAATTTATTAATAAACCGATAAATATTTCCACGAAGATTGCTAAAGTACTAATACGGAGAACGTACAATATTTATCAAAAAAGACTTATTTTTAGTTGTCATGAGACACTATTTACATTTCGTTATTCGAGCTTACGGAGCATGTTCGCTCTCAGCGAAAGGACTCTAAGCAGAAAGAGAATATGTACCGGTACGGTTTGTTGTTAAATGGGAACTCAGGTATTGCGAGAGATCTCGCGACGATGGCTCAAGGAACGATTGCTGCAGGAGGCTGCGAAATCGAGGAGGATGGAGAGGGTTCCCAGGGTACGGCGGAACCGAACTTCATGTCTCAACCTTCAACGTCCCCGGAACCTATACCTGGACTATCTTGTTCCCAAAAACAAATTAAATCAAGACCTTATCCATCAAAGGAACCGTTACCACCGAAGGTAACATTTTTAAACGGAAAACTTTAAAGTGTTGCTTTGTTTAAATAATATATACATACATATCATGTCGTAGGTGGTACAAGTAGGAGCTTTAGAAGTACAGAACGTAAAACGAGCCATTAATCGTTACGGTACATTACCCAAAGGTGCTAGAATTGGCGCATTTCTTGAGTCAATTCGTCAAAGCAGCATGCCGTCGAATCAAGAATCTGCTTCAATAACTTCTGCAATGACACCTGGTTCAGTAGAGCAACATGATGCTTCCATTGACAGCTCTCAACACAGATCGCTTTCGCCTCGCCAAAGCAATCTGAGGAGTCAGCCTCAAATGACTCGCAGCAATTCTTCAAGCGGTGTTGTCAATACTTACCAACCTCCGAATTCTCCTCGTGGCCGGGTTGTAGCTGTGAGGAAGAACAACCAATCCGATGGTGTTGGTCTCAGAACTTTTCGAGTCTCAAGTAACTCCAACTTTCGTACTGCAAGTCCCTCGAGGTCTGTTCAACCGTCGTTAGCCGATTTAGAATTTCCTCCTCCACCCGCTGACCTGCCACCACCTCCGGACGAAGCTTTCTCTACCCCGGAACAGGTTGATCTTCCACCTCCTATTTCTTGTGCAGAAATTTCTCAAGTGAGAAGTTCTCCTCTCTCTATACGAAAGGCAAAGAGTTCGGACTGGCGAACGAAGGAGGAAGACAGCGAACAACAAGAAGATAGAAACGATGTTAGTAACGCAGAGCCCTCTGTTAAAGAAGCTAGTTCGAGATTCGGGGTTAATCTGAGGCGCAGAGAAGCTCAAGACAACGCGCCTAGAACTTCCGATAATAAAAGAACGGGGTTTAAATCTAGAATAGAAACGGTTGAACCTGCTGCTCCACCGGAGGAAGCGCCACCTCCCCCTCCACCTCCGCCACCACCGGTTTCTATGAGTACACCCCCCGACAGCTTCGAGCGTAAACCTGGCATGAAAGAGATGTTAGAATTGAAATTGATAAATGAGATTAAACAAAGCGCAGAGACGAAACATGGAGGGACTGCGAAAAAACCTGGAATCACGAGCAGTACCCCGTCTGCACCCTTGGATCCAGCGTCGCAGTTACTTTCGGAACTCTGTGCTAGTTTTAATATGGATTCTGGTCAGAGGTAGTTAAAGTTAAAAGGTTTTGTTTTATAGTACATTTGATTACAGAGGTTTATTACTTTAAGCTTTCACTAATTAGGTATTATACATTTAAGTATTATTTGTAATAATATTATGTTCAAATTTAGATTTAATGTTACTTTATTTTTCATTATCACGCTAGACACGCCCAAAACGAATATGCTGTGTCAACTTTAAAAACCAATGAGACGCCACAAGATCAACAGCAACAAACTCACAACATTTACAAGGACTCGTCAGTGTCGTCTCCAGTGACCGAGTCTATTCTATCCAGTGGAAACGTAGGATTTAAATTGAAAAGAGTGGATAAGCGGAGCAATCCACAAAAGGAAGAGACTCCTGATGGGCAAATAATTGATTTCAAGGCTAGACTCCGAAAAGTCGAAAATACAGAAAAAGAAAAGTCTATGGAGGACAAAAGCAATATTACCGAGCAGTCCTCAGAATCAGAAGAGCAACAAGATGACAAGCGTAGAAGTACTGGCAGTATTAGTAGTTTGAAAAAGCTTTGGGAAAATAAAGAATCGTGTGATAGTCAGCCTCACAGTCCGAAGCTTAGTGTTCGAGGAGGCAGTGGTAAATCGGAAATGCTTGATCAGACCGAAGATTCGCCGGAAGACCACAGTGGAGCCTCAACCCGCAGCCAGAGGTATGTGACCCTTGTTTCTACCTTTAGTTTGGAAACTTTTTGCTCAGTATATAAACCTAAACCTAGACTTAAATTGATAGTGTACATGTTTTCAAACAAATGCTGTAAATGGTATATTGAATTGATATTTGTTTATAGTTCTGGTAGCAAAAGCGATACTAGATTATGGCCCCCGCCTGAACCAGAGAAACCTGTCGTGCCAGCAAAACCGCTAAAACCTCTCTGTTCTTCAGCGAAACATTTCTGCTCTTCAATATATGCAACACCCAATTGTACGAAGTCTCAGCATACAGAAGATGATTTAAGTAAGCAGAACACAGATTCAAGAACCGCAAAACAGGCTGTATTGGAGCTCTCGACGTTGATCGAAAGTAGTGTACTAAATCTGAAAAGTAATTCGACGATAGTAATGACTAGTTGGCTACAACTATCTGACAAGGTAGGGCTGTTGCACGGCATGTGCACAAACCTTGCAGATAGTGGCATTGCTCCACACGCTCGGTTTCAATTCCGCGAGCTTCTATCTAGATTAGAGCTCCAGGCACGGCAGCTTCGGGCTGCTGGTACACGAAATGTTGCAGAGAATACGAGACTTCTCACCGACTTGCAAAACACGATAAAAGACGTGGTTAATGCTGTGCAAAGATAAACCACGGAGATTGACTATAGTTTTCACCATCTATCTCCACCCTTATTCTTGTCCTCATTTTCACTTAGCACAGATTGGAATGTTTGTATGTCTAGATTCGGTCGGACATGTTTTATGGATTTCTTCGAAGATCGTTTATTTTCTATTTTCCCTTCCCGTGCTGAGTATTATTACACTTCCTTAAAGTTTGTTATCCCATTTTATTTGGGATTCATTTAGCATGTTTCCATTGTGTCGAACTCAGTTGTTCGTTTGCAATATTTTTCCTGGAGATGACTCGATCGAAGTCTGAATTATGATTATGGAGAGCACATGAAAACCGAGGATGCTTGAAAGCAAGGCTTCTAGCCGAAACACGGCCTCAGTTAAGATATCGGTTTGATGGAAAAGTAATAAAAAAAAAAAAGAAAAGAGTCTGAAGATACAATACTAAATTATCGAAGAAAAATATATTCCAATTTTCCATCGATACATTTCTTATTATAGACTGCGATTAGTCATTTTCGTTCGAGTTTAGAAATATTGTTAGTGTTCAGTTGATATCAATGCTCGAGGAACGTATAGCGCGCAAAATGTAATTCACTGATATTTTCTATCATTAAGTACGGAGATGAACAAACGATACTTCTGAAAAGTAATATGAGCGTTGATGTACGATGAATAAATGAGGATCAAACGTACTGGTTCCTTCAATTTTTTTAACAATAGTTTTAAACTTGTAGTAAAAGGACGAGCAATCGCAGTTCATAAAAAAAAGAATAGATAATACATATATGTAGTATGGATAACAGCAAGATATACTTTTTGTATACTGAACACATTAATTTTTCGGAATACACGTTATTACTTTTACGTCGATCCAATATTTAGTCTGCATAAATGAAGCTGTACGTAAATTATACACTCGTCCGCTATACGATAAATGTGGTGATTATAGTTGTCGAGTAAAACGTCTCGGTGTTCTTTCATCGAAATTTCTTGCGCCGTGCTTCGTAATATCGTATGCAAAGTCTTAGGCTAGATTATAAATCATAAGTGCGAAACTTTTAAGCGAGTAAGCCATTTTAATGCGTGAGAGGATGTAACAATTTTTGTATTTGTATAGAATAAGTCGAGTACAGGTATGCTTAAACAGTACAGTAAAACCTCGATCATGCAAACTAATCAGAAGAATATCGTCAAGTCGATGAACTTCTCGATTAATCAAACGCAACTTTCAATCCCATTCTAATTATATTTTATTTGAAATCTATTTCGTGCTGTATTATAAAAGTAGGTTATTCTTATTACTCGTATCGAAAGATATTAATTTTATTACTTTGACGCAGCGACTGTACTAATCGCTCATAATCTTCAAAACTTCTTGGATTGTAGTAGAATTTATTGAAGTAAAATATTTAATACTCGTCAACGTAATGCAATTATCGTAATACGATCCTATTCGTATTTGAGTAATCGAAAGTTCGATCAAACGTTTGAATAATCAAAAATCGAATATATTATACCGTTGAATAAAGTCGAAGTTCTACTGTACATTTACACATATAAATCAGCGGGTGTAATTAATCAAATTCTCAAACATTATATTTTGTCTACATCATCACGTAGACATTCTTCCAGAATACGTTGATGGAAAACGTGACTCCGGATACTTCTAGAAGAATCTTAAAAAAATTATTTCTTAATTTATATTCCTTTTTATCAATCACTCTCAGTAATATCTGTGCATTTATAAATTAAAAAAGGAAATAATTCACCATTCCTTTGTAACGTAAATTTTAATTCCTTGCAGATGAACTGTAATTTCAATCTTTTGATTTTGAATTGTATTATTATTAGCATTTACGTGTATGTAATCTAGCATTTCTAACTGTTAGTGTAATAAGTACCGTTTTTAAAGTTTGATATTGTAGTCTTCCATAGATAGGTTCCGGAGTCTTAATATGTTTTATTCCACCACGTAACATTAAGAAATACGCAACGATAATGAAATGCCACTCTATTCGCAAGTCAAGCTGTTTTTCCTTATAACACTGCCTACGTTATGGCTACTAGAATACATCGATCGACAACGCTAATTATGCGAACCGGACGTTTTCCTCTTTTCGGTCCGATTACTCAATTTTTGTTGCATCGTTTGTACCTGTGATACACCGATCGACTTATCTGTTATCTTCAAAGAAAAAGAGAGGGAGTGAGAGAGGATGGGAAGAAAAGAAAAATCTGAGCGATCGTATGAAAGAATCTTTGCGAGATGAGAATTCCTAGGTGTATAGATTTTTAAGTGGAATTTTTATCAATTTCTAGTTAGCCCCGTAAAAGTACTGAACCAAAATATTATCTGTAAATACTTAATAATTTTCAAGAAATCACGCATAATATCTTACAATTTAATGTTCATTTTAAGAGAGTATTAGCCTAATTATATATAATTTTTCTAAACACTATTCCTGATTCTTATTAAATGAAGAATCATGTATTGCAAAGACTGTTTTATCTATTATAGGCAGACAACTAACTGTGAATTTTTGATCTACGAACTGCATGTTGTGTGTAATTTTTAAATTTTGTTCAATTATTTTAGTCATAAGAATATTTACAAGTATAAATTATGATGCTATTGATGCAAATAAAAATATAATGTGTGATTTCTTAAAAGTATAAGTAATTATGGACAATATTTGTAAAATTTATTAAGAAATATCATAAACTATAAATTAATAGATGTTTCATTCAAAAAGCTTTATACCTAGAATTTCTCGAAATTTTATTAATTAGTGGATGTTTAAGTTGATGAGCCATCAAAGGATATGAAATCGATGTTTTATACAATATGTATCATAGTAACATTTATGTCTAAGTATTTATATCTATATTTATTTTTAGTTCTTTCTCGTGTAAAGTTATTCCTAAATGATCGACCAACGTACTGATTCACTAATACGAAAATTTTAATATCGCTTTATACATTGATATAAGATCGACGATAGAAATAAAAAGGAATATTGAATCAAATAGTTCGTTGGAAAAGTTTAATGTATTCTTATTATTTAATATTTTATTTCACACATCTGGGACTTCTTGTGCTCGAAAGCAGTCACTTACAATTTTCCATTTATCTCCCATTGCTGTAATAAGAAAGCTCTGATTGAATAGTTTTGATATTTTATCATCATATTTTACAGTCCCCCCAACTTTTACAAGAAAAGTCAGCTGATTTGCCACTTCAGGACCTGTACATAGAAAGAACAATATATATTATAGCATTGTTGTGTATGAGTATCATAGTTTACCTGTTATTGGTTGAGCATCTAAAGTAAATATATTATGGTCAGAAGGTGGCAAATCTGTCCAAAATTTTTGTATGTTATCTTTGCCATCAATACCATTTCCATTCCAAATTAAAGTTGCAGTCTCTAGATATAACCTTGATATCAACTGAAAATATTTACAGATTATTTATTGCAAGAATATTTCAATTATTTAATTTATTTACACATGATAAATTACTAAAACTTTTACTTACAATTCACTGATATACCTTATACATATTATTATAAATTAACTTTTCAGGATACTAAATTCAAGCGTGTAAAACGTTGTGTGACATTAAGTACTTACATATCTCCGTTTGTCTAAACTTTCATAATAAAGTTTCGTAAATTCCTCAGCTGTTCGACAAGCCTGGTCGATCTTACTCTTCAAATCCTATAAAGTAATACATATTAATTTTGGATAATTCTACAGTGGATAAAATAATGTTTTGTGAAGTACTTGTTCCATTTTTCAGAATTATTAATTAAGTCAGCTTTACGGAAATTCAATATTTTCTTCGTTGCACGGTCAGAAAAAGTCAAAACATAACCTCTAAAAAGTAAACAAAATTGATCTTAACAAGTCTGAAAATATACGATCATTATTGTGACTAATTGCTTCTTACAATTAACAATATCTACATCGACATATATTAAATTTAAGAAACTAGTTATTGTCGTATGTTTTCAATAAAATTGCAGGAGTATCGCATTTTGTCACTAAAATGATACACTTGCTATGACTGTAATATTTATTTTTGAATATGTATGCATGTACATCCATATCAAACCTAAAATCCGATTTTCAATATTTTTCAAAATTTTAAATATCAACAAATGTTTATATTAAGTGAAATAATGTTAGTTTCGTTTTTCATTATAAGATAAAATTACAAACAACAACAAAATATTAGTTGCTCTATGATTATATTCTATAACGATTACAAAAATTATATTTAAAATATTCAAACTAAATTTTTAAATCACATTAACTTTGAAACAATGTAAAAAACAAAAAACAAGTTTAAATAACCATACCCAAATCGTGATTTGTTGAAAATGATTTGACTGCTTAAGGAAAACCCNTAATTTTTTGAGTAATCTTCTCTACTTTCTCCTTCCTATTTTTGAATTCTGATATAACAGAGAAGTATCATACGAGGCGGCTAAATACAGTAAATGATCTCCATGCTTACTATACTTTAAATACTAAATAGCTGCATATTATAAAAATAATTAGAAAGTTGATTGTTTACATTGTTCGATTACTATTTTTATTAGCTTTTTCTAAAATTCAGACATACAGGTGATTGATTGAGTTATGAGCTTACATCTAGTGAAATTGCCAGAGGTTTTGATTCTGCTCTGTTTCCAGAGCAGCTGGTAGTCCGCGCCGCGGATAAGAGCAATCGCGAGATCTCATCGTGTTCTCGCGGGGTCACGTGACTCCGCGCTCAGACAGTTATTTTTTTAGGCATGATGGCGCCAAACAGCAGTATCCACATTAATGTAAATATAATATCGATTCGGTGCACCGCGCGAGGAAGAAAGCCATCGGGTGTCCTTACGGAGGCTATTTGAGGGCATCGAGCGAGCTCAACAGGAGCCCTCGGCCCACGAAGTGAGTAAAACCGAGCTAGTCGCGGCTGCGACTCGAATTGCTAATGAGGACATCTTGGTTAGGCTGCCGTGACAGAGGCGTACTCGGACTACTGCCATCTCGGAGCTACCGATCGAAGAATAATTCGATCGTTCACGATCAAACGTACCGGCTATTATTCGTCACGTGCATCATCGCGCGCGAAATCACCCTCTCCGTCGATAGATCAATAATAAGGCATTTACTGCCTTCCGACCATCTCTATCTTTCTCTCTCTCTCTTACGTTCTGGTTCTCTCTTGCGCGCGCGTGCGTGTTCATGTTTGCGTGTGCGTGTTCATGTTTGCGTGTGCGTGTCGAACTTGTGCTCGCGTGTTCGTATCCATACCGTGCGCTTGTGTTATATTCACGTTCGTGCGTACCTGTGCATTCACGTCGCGTGTGCGTATTTACTTACACTCGTGTGCATGTGCATTCGAATTCACATACGTGTGCGTTCAGATGTGTATACCTGAGTGCCGAGATTCGTGTGCGAGTCGAGCCTGTCGCCATCTGTATTGTCAATGTTGTCGGCCAGCAGGAGCACCACCAGCCCAATGGACCCGTGAGCATTTTCGACTCTCCGCCCGATCTTCTTCTAAACGTCTGTTCTCGACCGCGAGTCTCGACTTCCACGTGTCGAGTCATCGAAAGTCTTACGGCGATCCTTCACGGTCGAGCCTCGGCGCCGCTCGAGCGTCGCCGCGGAGTAACTCCGTCGCAATGTTTACATGCCACCCGCCACGGCGACCAGTTTCTCCAAGACCCTTGTGCTTTTGCAACTGTTCGGGGCCTTCTAGCGTTACGGATAAACGATTTCGTTCAAGTTATAACTCTTCCTGCTGGACTGCCCCATTTATAACCTCTCCGCGGCGGCCATCGAGGATCAACGGCCGCAGACCCCCTGCAATACAATCGGTTCATACCATCGGCCCTTTTGTCCAATTTTTATGCTCGAACAACTTTTACGTTGTTAGAAATCTTATATGATATCTTTTATTATGTGCCAGTTTGCAGAATTGTGTATCTGTGTTACTAAATATCTCTCAGTCAGAGTGGTACCTTTGTAGATTCACTTTGCGAAGGAATGCTTTGTGTATTGCACTTGTGATCACTGTGAAATACCAGTTGCTATGTATAGTTTAGCTTTTTCAACTCCGTAGCAGTAATTNAACCCTAGTCAGTGCTAGTTATACTCTAGTAATAATTGTAATTTTTTGAGTAATCTTCTCTACTTTCTCCTTCCTATTTTTGAATTCTGATATAACAGAGAAGTATCATACGAGGCGGCTAAATACAGTAAATGATCTCCATGCTTACTATACTTTAAATACTAAATAGCTGCATATTATAAAAATAATTAGAAAGTTGATTGTTTACATTGTTCGATTACTATTTTTATTAGCTTTTTCTAAAATTCAGACATACAGGTGATTGATTGAGTTATGAGCTTACATCTAGTGAAATTGCCAGAGGTTTTGATTCTGCTCTGTTTCCAGAGCAGCTGGTAGTCCGCGCCGCGGATAAGAGCAATCGCGAGATCTCATCGTGTTCTCGCGGGGTCACGTGACTCCGCGCTCAGACAGTTATTTTTTTAGGCATGATGGCGCCAAACAGCAGTATCCACATTAATGTAAATATAATATCGATTCGGTGCACCGCGCGAGGAAGAAAGCCATCGGGTGTCCTTACGGAGGCTATTTGAGGGCATCGAGCGAGCTCAACAGGAGCCCTCGGCCCACGAAGTGAGTAAAACCGAGCTAGTCGCGGCTGCGACTCGAATTGCTAATGAGGACATCTTGGTTAGGCTGCCGTGACAGAGGCGTACTCGGACTACTGCCATCTCGGAGCTACCGATCGAAGAATAATTCGATCGTTCACGATCAAACGTACCGGCTATTATTCGTCACGTGCATCATCGCGCGCGAAATCACCCTCTCCGTCGATAGATCAATAATAAGGCATTTACTGCCTTCCGACCATCTCTATCTTTCTCTCTCTCTCTTACGTTCTGGTTCTCTCTTGCGCGCGCGTGCGTGTTCATGTTTGCGTGTGCGTGTTCATGTTTGCGTGTGCGTGTCGAACTTGTGCTCGCGTGTTCGTATCCATACCGTGCGCTTGTGTTATATTCACGTTCGTGCGTACCTGTGCATTCACGTCGCGTGTGCGTATTTACTTACACTCGTGTGCATGTGCATTCGAATTCACATACGTGTGCGTTCAGATGTGTATACCTGAGTGCCGAGATTCGTGTGCGAGTCGAGCCTGTCGCCATCTGTATTGTCAATGTTGTCGGCCAGCAGGAGCACCACCAGCCCAATGGACCCGTGAGCATTTTCGACTCTCCGCCCGATCTTCTTCTAAACGTCTGTTCTCGACCGCGAGTCTCGACTTCCACGTGTCGAGTCATCGAAAGTCTTACGGCGATCCTTCACGGTCGAGCCTCGGCGCCGCTCGAGCGTCGCCGCGGAGTAACTCCGTCGCAATGTTTACATGCCACCCGCCACGGCGACCAGTTTCTCCAAGACCCTTGTGCTTTTGCAACTGTTCGGGGCCTTCTAGCGTTACGGATAAACGATTTCGTTCAAGTTATAACTCTTCCTGCTGGACTGCCCCATTTATAACCTCTCCGCGGCGGCCATCGAGGATCAACGGCCGCAGACCCCCTGCAATACAATCGGTTCATACCATCGGCCCTTTTGTCCAATTTTTATGCTCGAACAACTTTTACGTTGTTAGAAATCTTATATGATATCTTTTATTATGTGCCAGTTTGCAGAATTGTGTATCTGTGTTACTAAATATCTCTCAGTCAGAGTGGTACCTTTGTAGATTCACTTTGCGAAGGAATGCTTTGTGTATTGCACTTGTGATCACTGTGAAATACCAGTTGCTATGTATAGTTTAGCTTTTTCAACTCCGTAGCAGTAATTTTTATTAGATTTAAACATCTTGTTTCCAAGTGGATTACGTGCAATCAGATTGAGTAGATGCATTCCACCTTTTTTTTTCTATGCGTTCAATGCTATACATCACTGTTTTGTTTACATGCTATTTTCACTAATTAGATTTGCTATTTTACAATTGTTCCTATGAAAATGATTACTAATTTTCATTCCCTTGATATAATAAACAAATATTTAATCCTATATATTGTTTTGTTGTAACTTCAACTTATTGCTTAGTTGTATTATTATATCTTACTTATATTCCATATAATACTTTAATTAAATAGCATAATGTGTTATAAGTATCTTTTAGTTTTTAAAATCTGACAATTATACACAGATAATCGTGTATAGTTCTAAAGCCTAGTTGTTTTTATTTCTGTGAATAAGCTTTGACTCAACTATTTTATGTTTTGTTTTCAATGAGATATATATATATGTGACAACTATGCTTCCTCTTGTTACAGCTCCGAGAGGAATCCACTTTCTAGATAATAAATACATGGACAACTATGTAGTGAGTAGTTCAATCAAGGTTTTGTTCTTTTTTCTTTCTCTGTTTTGTAGTTTTCAGTGTGAAAGGAAATCAAATTTTTTAGGGTGTGCACGGCTCACCTGCACGTGCCACGTACCGCTAGCTCACTTGGTATAGTAGAATGGCACAGCGAGGCAAACGAATAAACAGAAACGACAATGATTTGGCGTCTTGCCCAGGCGCAATCAAAAGGCGCAAATGTAAGCTGGTTCCAGCGACGGGTTCGTCGTCGCTGGCAGCTACCATGGGGCCCTCAGAAGAGGAGGAGACGATGGCGTCGTCCAGTCAAGGAGGGGCATCCTGGACCCCCAGACCTCTTAGTGACATCAAAATCTCTAGTATATACAATCGCTCCTCTGCTGAGGCTCCAGCAGAATTATTTCGTAAGGATTTGATCAGTGCGATGAAATTACCTGACAGTGAACCACTAAGTCCCAATGAATATTGGGTCATTACTGATCAGTGGAAACAAGAATGGGAGAGAGGTGTTCAAGTACCTGTCAACCCAGATTCCCTTCCTGAACCTACAGTCACTATCACGCAGGCAGCACCTGTAAAGCAGCACTCTGAATTTAAGCTGTAAGTTCCTTTATTTATATAATTTATATATTTTCTATATAATTGGTTTAAAGAAATTAAGTTGGAAAGTGTAAAGTAATTACAAAAGTTTTAAGTAACATAACTTTGCATTAGACACAATTAACATGATGTAAATTATGATTTCTAGAAATATATATGTCTGAACAATAATTTCATGATTTTACTGTAGTTGAAAAAGTAGGTCAGTAATGGAATTGCAATTTATACTTTCATAGTGTATAAAATTTGATGAATTTGTCCATTGTCTCTTGATTCAGTATTAAATTCTTATAAAAATGATTATAAAATTACATCTTATATGTAAAACACAGTTTTAATGGAAAAAATATTTAGAGATGAATGAATTAAAACTAAACAAACTCGCATTATAAGTAGATTAAATATATTATTTCATGTTTTTTTATAAACAAGTGTTAATGATTTTCTTTGGCAATAATGCTTTCATAGACCTAAGAAATTCGTAAGGATATCACGTGACGATTACTTCAACTCAGAAGATCATCATTTAAGCACAACACCAGCACGAGCTGAGAAAGCTTGTGCTTATGACCTTGATGACACTGATATTGCTTGGTTGGATGTATTAAATGGTGAACGTGCACAGGTACGTGCACAGTTGTTTCTATTTTGTAAATCATTTCTAGATAAGTATAAATAACACAGTTAACAAGTAATTTATTTAACTTTCTGTATTTGATTTATAATGTAAGTTTTCTATTTACATATTAACTAATTACTAATTGGTTTAAATGAATTTAAATTCGAGTAATTATCATATTTATTGAATCATCAGAGTTGCACATATTAAATTTCTCCTTAAGGATAAATTTGTAATACACAAAATGTACAAGTTATACACATAATCTAGTTAAAATATTCTAAAATATAATTTAAAAAGTACGTTGATAACGATATTTTAGGCTGGGCAATTGCCAATCACGGAGTCGCAACTGGAACGCGTGATAGAAGAACTGGAAGTTCGTTGTTGGGAAATAATACAGACTATTGTAAAAAATGAAGAAGGTCTTGGCATTGAATATGATGAAAATGTAATTTGTGATGTCTGCAGATCTGTGAGTCATTTTTAACAACACGACGAACTTTTATAAGAAAAAGAACTGTCGAATAAAGTTTGCGTTTATTTCTTTTTCTATTAGCCTGATTCTGAAGAAGGGAACGAGATGGTATTTTGTGACTGCTGCAACATATGTGTGCATCAAGCTTGTTATGGGATTACTTCAATACCAGATGGTTCCTGGTTATGCAGAACTTGTTCTTTAAGTCAACGACCAGATTGTGTTCTCTGTCCTAACAAAGGTGGTGCTATGAAGTGTACTCGCAGTGGCCAAAAGTGGGCTCATGTCTCTTGTGCTTTATGGATCCCGGAAGTCAGCATTGGTTGTGTAGAAAGAATGGAACCTATCACTAAAATATCCAGTATTCCGGTACATACATATTTACATATGTATATTTAAGCTTGTGAAGACTAAATATTCCTCTTTAAATGGAAAAAGCATATTGTATTAAGAAAGCACAGTAGTCGTTATGTAGAAATTTGAATTGTTACAGTGCAATATTAATAGGCTAAACCTTTAATTACAGCAAAGTCGATGGGCCCTAATATGTGTGTTATGTCGAGAAAGGGTCGGTGCTTGTATCCAATGCAGCATAAAGACATGCAAAACGGCTTATCACGTGACGTGTGCCTTCAAATACGGCTTGCAGATGAAGGCAATCATTGAAAATGAAATGGCTGATGATGGAGTAAAATTAAGGGTACTTTAATCTTACTTTTCAACGTTGTAAAAAGACAATAAAATACATTTTAGTAATGTAAGCATGCGTTAGAAAATAGGAAAGAAATGGAGAACATTAATTACATTTCTTTTAATAATAATATTAAAACAAATTGAGATACTTCTAGACTAAACGAAGCGACTATAGAAGTTAGTTAGTAATCTAGTAAGTTTGGGAATGTTTTAGGAAGTAAATGTAAATGTTCAATTTACAGTCCTACTGCCAGAAGCATTGTAGAACGAATGCAAAAGATAAAGTTCAAGGAGCTGGAGGCAGTATTGGAAGCGGAGCGGACAAAGCAGGATCAGATTCGGAGGACGCAGAATCCAGGAGACGTAAAAGGAAAGACATGACTTCTGAGGAAAAGAATCAAGCACGCGCTGCAAAGTACGTATTACTATAACTATATTGTCTTAATTATTTGCAGTCGTAAGCCGAATATTTTGTCACAAAATACATGAGAGGAAATAATTGTGATCGTCGATATATTCACGCATAAATATATTATGATTGCAAAGATTTAGTATTTATATCTATTTACTACTTGTTCGTTAATAATTAAAATTCCTTTCGTCATTTAAAGCATGTTATCGATTACACTAAAATATTTTCCATTAACAGGATATATTGTATATATGATTTTTATATATTAGATTACAAGAAATAGAAGCAGAATTTGACAAACATGTGAGCTTGAAAGACATTGCTACGCAGCAGTTGGATGTGGATCCCGAAGGCATTATCTACATTTATAATTATTGGAAACTTAAAAGAAGAGTAAGTAACATTTGAATCCTTGATGAATTTATTGGAAAAGTCATTTTTAATTATTTGTTTAATCTGTTTTTTCAAAAAAATACATTTCGAAACTTAATTATTTTAAAGTTTATGTCGTATAATAATGTGAAACAGCTTAGCTAGTTGCACTATTTTCATAGTATAAAAAGCATTTTAATTAATTACTATTTTGAATCTTTAGGCTGGTCATAACAAACCCCTGTTAGCACCACGCTGTGGAGAGCTTTCCGGAAGTGGATCTCGTAATCAAGGCCAAGCAGCTGATCTCGAAAAAATGAGGACATTCGTTCAACTTCGACAGGATCTAGAGAGAGTTCGGAATCTCTGTTACATGGTGGGCAGAAGAGAAAAACTCTGTCGGTCTTTTCTCAGATTACGAGAACAAACTTTCCATAAGCAAGCAATGGTGATGTCTGGCCCGCCATTACCGGCGGCTGCGGCGGCTGCAGTAATGGAAGCTAATCACGGTCCATCAATCTACGACCGTCTTTACTCCCACCCCGATTCTGAGGACCATACTCATGACTTTGACACGATCGTTGCCAGGATTGCTGGAATAGAATCACCGACCAGCGACGAGAAAAAGACGCAACAGCTACAACAGCAACAGTCGCAACAACAGCAGGACTTCAATGGTGCCTCTAGTAAAAAGCTATACTTCAATGGCTCCGTCCGCAGAAAGAACCTTTATGGCAGTGATCTGTCGTCTGTTAGTAGCAGTGAAACGGATGCGACGAAAGTGAAAACTGAGAAGAAAAATCTTAAGTTGGAAAGTGAATCAAGCACGGAAGACGAGACGAACGTATCAACGAAACCGAAGCTATCGCGTAGAAAGACCAAGAAGAGCGGTCAACATGCGGATAAGTTGCTCAAAGAGAACAGTGAAAATGAGAAACTCGTTAATAGTAGGTCGCATACACTTCAGCACATGGAAAAGGAATTAGGAAGTGCTTCTGGCAGCGAAAGTGACGAATTGTTGCCTTTAAATGCCGGGACGACGAAACACCTTACAGCTTCAGCAATATATTCAGACACTGACTCAGACTCTCAGGAGCATACGTCTCACTCATCAGCAGTTCTAATCACTAAAGCAGCGGTTAAAGAATTCTCCGCCGCGAACTTGTCGAAGAATTCGCAGAAAAACTTCAATAAAGACTCTAGGCACACGGAAACAGCGTACCACAACACTGGAACAAAGAATAAAGAGAATCAAAATAAAGTCAGTACTAAGAAGAAAGAGTACATACCTACACCGTTGATAGTACCTCAAAGACAAGCGGCAAAGAAGGCTTCGGAAATTATGCAGCGTACGCAACAAAGTAAGAAAGAAAACCCGGTACCTGAAATTCCATCAGAAGCAGTGAAGTCTCCTGTAGAAGAGGCACCCAAGTGTTCCTCTTCCAAACCACAGAAAGAAAAGAGTCCCAGCAAGAAGCAAAAAGAAAGTAAACCCCCGAAAGAGGTTAAGAATAATGATGTCTACGATTTTGATAAAGAATTTGGTGATGGAACTGAAATATTGGCGTATGTTCCACAAAGGCAAGCTGCAAAGAAGGCTGCCGAGCACATTAAGAGTGGTTTAGGCAGTAAGCCTACACAACAGCAGATGGAACAAGAAACTCTCGATGGAAGGAAAAAGGAATCTCCAGAAAGTGGCAAACGGAAGGAAGCTAGGAAAGATGATGCTTCATCGACCAGGAAAGAGGAGTTGCCTTCACGAAAAGAAGAAATGTCTTCTTCCTCGTCATCTTCGTCATCCTCGTCTTCATCTTCTTCGTCGTCTTCATCATCTTCTTCTTCGTCATCTTCTTCTTCATCGAGGAAAGAAGAAGCTTCAAGGAAAGAAGAGCTGTCCTCAAAGAAAGAAGAATCTTCTTCGAGGAAGGAAGAAGTACTTTCCAAGGACAAACGGGCAAGAAGACCAAGGAAACCTAGTGAAAGGAAGTCAGCGCTCTCCAGTAACAGCGACAGTAGCAGTAGCAGCAATAGTTGCAGCAGTTCGACAGAAAGTAGTAGTGATTCTGAGAGCCCTACTCATAGAAGGCTCTCCACTGATGTCAAGGACGCTTCTTCTTCTACCACTTCCTCCGAAAGCGACGCTGGAAACAGGACAAAGAACAGGCTCACAACCACTCCAAGCACGACAAACAGAAAACAACAAACTGTTAAAGCATCACCGGAACGAGAAACCGAAAGGAAACCAGTCTCGGGGCGGAAACTCAAGAAGCTGCCCGAGAAGAAGCTTAAAACTTCCGACGGGCGGCGGGGACCAGAGTTTCAGCCGCCTACTGAGAGAGAGGAACCTCGTAGAACCTCTAAGGAGCAACAACAACAACAAGAACAACCACCACAACAACAGGAGGCAAAGAAGCAGGATCAGAGAGACAGTAAGAAACAACAACCAACCACGGGAACGGAGGCTAATGAGGATCTGCTCGTTGGGGCTGGAGATCATGATGGGGCAAGAAGTGTTTCTGGGTCCAGACCTGCCAAGAAGTCGAGTCAGGCTGCTAAACAGCAGTCCCAGCCTCGAAAAGAAGATAACAAGGCTAAACCCGAGGGCAGAAAGCGAAAACCAATTGAACTTGTCGCGAAGGATGAAAAGAAAGAAACGACCAAAAAGCCGGAGAAACGGGTGAGTGAGAAGCAAGTCAAGGAAATTGAAAAGAAAGACGAGGAGGAGAGTAGAAAGGACGAAACGAAGACTGTGGAGCAAGAGAAGTCTAACGAAACCACCGAAAATTTCTTTAAAAACGATGACAAGAAAGCTAAGAAACTTGGAGGCAGCAAAGAGGCCGTGAATACATTGGAGGAAGAGATGAAGCAACGTAGAGCCGAGAGGGACAGTCCTAAAAAATCGCTGAGGACTGGAGGTTTAGATAAATTGTTAGAGAAACGCGAACACCTGGACAAAATATCGAAAAGTAAAAATTCGGAGGTGAAGCTCGAGAAACTTGTCGACGAAGAAAAAGAGGAGAAAGAAATCATAGAAGAGCTTCCACAGACAAAGGAAACTATCAAAAACGAAGATCGCAAAAATCACGTTACAGAAATCGAAACCATAATCGAGAAAGCGAAACCGGAAGAGTTGCCGGAGGAAGAGTCCATTAAAAAAGACATTGTAGAGGTGCCACAACCAGAAAGAATACCAACTGTTAAGAAGAAATCTGAGGGAAGCTTGGAGAACTTTATTGAACCACCGATTATGGAAGTTGTTCCTGTTGAAGAAAATCTGCAAAAAGAAACGCCAGAAGAGGATAATGTTAAGATTGTTTCAGAAAAAGTTGAGACTGTAGAGAAGGATCATCAGAAGAGACGGAAATCTGGAAATCGATCAATTTTCTCGCCACAGCATGGCAAAGATCCGAGTGTCTCAGAATTGTTTGACTTTGATCAGGATATGCTGACCGAGGAGATGGTGAATGAGGACGGATTCGGTATATCCAGAGACCCGGAGGAACGATCGGCGCCATTAAGTTTCTCCTTTAACAGTGAGCTGTGGTTCAAGGAAGACTCGAAAGAAGACAGTGCTAGGGAGACCCTTCACCTCGTAGAGAAGCTGCGCATGGAACTCTCGAAAAAATCGAATTCTAGTCAGTTTGAATTAGAAACAGTACCTGTGGACGGTGAGATAAAGAAGGAGGAACCACCGATGGAGAAGGTGTTTGAACAGCCGCCGCAACATCAGCTGCAGCAATCGCAACTGCAACAGCAGTTGAGCTTGCAACCGGAAAAGGAAACGAAGATTCTGGAACCTACTGAGCCACCGGTCTTGGAAGTGAAGAACAATGTTGAAATACCCGAGGAAGAGATAGTTGTTAACGAAGCCCGTCCCAGTAGCTGTAAAGACACATTGGACGAAAAGAGAAAAACGTGCTACTCCAGTACCAATGACAGATACACGGCCTACGAGGAGGATCGAGAAACAAATAAGGTCAGTCTGGTGGAACGATCGAAGCTTGATCGTGTTGAGACCGACGAAAGATGGGTCCCGCCAAGCACAAACAGCTTCGAACCTACCGACGTTCAACACTTGAATGCTCTCATAGAAACACAGAATCATCGATACGGCAATCACCAGTTCTCTAACGAATCTATTCAAGATAGCGAATCATTAACACGTTCACACTTAAATGCGGCTACTTTACAAGAGCAATATCTTCTTCAGCAACCACACACTATACTTCATGGTCAACGCGAAACGCACGAGAGGACAATACTAGATCAACAAATACCCGAGGAGAACCCTATGGATATGGTGAACAGGCATCTTATAGGATTACCAACATCCGAAGACGATCAGGCAACAGAGATAATGGATAGAGCGATGGAAAAGGAAGATGATGTTGTTAGACAACAAGAATACGATCAGAATTCTCCATACAACGATGTTAATGGCCGACCAGATACCAGATGGGCAGAGAGTCAAGTTCTGCCCTCTCGTAGATCCACATCTTCATCGATCACGTCTGCCTCGTCTGCCGAGGATCATTCCATTCCGCCGTACAAGAATGTTCCAGGAATACCTTTTCCACCCTGCTCAATCGAACAAACTTATTACACAGACTCGAACTACGGTACAGGTCCTGTGTCTCTATTTCCGCCTCAATCTTGTGCCGCCCCATTGCCATATCCATCTCCTGGGACTGCTCTCTTTCCACCTGCGTTTGGAGCCGCCTTTCCGGCGGCACAATCGTTATTGCCACATGTGAAGCCTCTGGAGGATTCGCTAAACCTACAAGCTTCTCCTTGCACAGCAGCGTTCACGTCTTCCTCGCACAATATGGCCCTCACAGCCGCCATGGTCTCGCCCACTAAAATAGCCACCCCACCACCATCGCCTCCGCCACCACCTCCGCAAATACCACCACCGACGGAAACCATCGACAGGGCACAGCAACAAACGCAGGTTACCGATGCGCCGTCCTTGCCTCTCAACTTCTTAAACGCTATAGCACCCGAGAGTCACGTTGCCGAGCCTATCGTCGAGACTATACCCGAAGCTTTAACCGACGCTAAGATCCAGCACCCAGGGAAGAAGTCACCCTCGAAGCCTACTAGAACTTCTGCAAGAGTTACATCGTTACAGAGCAAGTCTCCAGGGAAATCACCTAGGCAAGAAACTCCGAAAGGTGTTCCTGGTGCAAGGGGAAGAGGCAGGAGTGCTAAGAGTTCCACTCAACATTCAAGTTATCGGTCACGTGGCCGAGGACGAGGCAGAGGACGAGGCCGAAGTCAAAATGCGGGACTCTCCTTGGTCTCTGGTGTGGCTGTTGGACAACACGATGACTCTATTCAAAACAAACTAGTCGGCACGGTCTACGACTTCGACTCTGACGAAGATTCCACCAGCGAAGCTAACATCGCTGATCTACGCACCATGAGAGAGAGGAAGAAGTCGACGGATGCAACAACTGCTGGAGTCGAGAGAAGAGATTCTACTGTCGTGGTTCCAGAAAGTGTTCAATCGAGACTCTCCAGTCCTGGAGGCAGTAGAAAGTACCTGGATGACAGGAGGATCTCCTGTTCTCCCGGCCACGATGATTCTGGCGTTGTGGAGAACGAGTCGAATGCCGGACAAAGCTTCGACACTGTTCTACCGCTAATCCCCGGTCCTGTCGACATGAGGACGTACAATTCTACCCTGGATGCGTCCAGTTCTTCCACGTTGCACGGTCAGAGCTACGAGAATCATTTCTTAAGCACGTTCACCAGCGTTTCTACGAGTGATCCCACACTTCCGGACATCGAGGAAGACCTGGACAAAGAGCTAAGGTCTGCGTTGATAGGCAAACAGGGCCAGGAAGACTGTTCAAAGCCAAGCTTTGACGCCAGCATCGACGCCTCATCTTCCGGTTTCGCGGATGCCAATAAGGTTTCCCTGACGGATTCGCGGAACCAGTTGAAGGTGAAGATCAAAGGTCCATTCCTCGACGCGAATTACGTTCCTGCCTCGTCGGTGCCCCCGTTGGCGCAACAGGCACCCGTAATCATCGCTCCGGCTGCTACCAGTGCTTCCGTAGCTTCCGGAACGTCGAATCTCAGGCGAATGAGGAAGAAGGAGTTGCTTAGACAGTATTGTTCCCAGGACATGAACATGGACGAGCCAGGTTGCGGGAACCTGGCGACGTCTGCACCGATTATCATACCACCTATCAATCGCACAGTGATCACGATACCCAAAGCTGTCGCGTCGATGACTAGCATACCAACTAGAGAAGACTATAAAGCGGTGGTCGACGCGAATATGGAAAAGAAGAGAAGAAAAGAACGACCGGCTGGGTTCCTGGATACGAACGAGGAGGAAGGCAATGTGGAAAGAAGACGAGGTAGTGCTACCAACGGTGCCAGTTCTAGTGGAAACAATCCGGTTGTGAACGCAGATCGTCGTAGAGGAAGGCAGAGCAGCGGTGGTAGATCAACGACGACAACTACATCGACCACCACGACGAACAGCGGTCCGCCTAAGCTAAAGATCAAATTCGGTAACAGTATAATCGGTGGTCAGGAGACCGGCCAAGACGACAGAACCAGGATCAGACCGCCAAAGAAGCGGCTGAGTAGTATTCCCAGCAGCACGCCAAGTATAGAGGAATTACGTAGGGAAAGTATGAAATTCAGGCGGATGATCATGGCTGGTTTCGACAACGATGAGAAAGTTCGACAAAAGAGCAAGAAAGATAAGAACGACAAGAGAAAGAAACGTCAATCTAGTAGAAAGGAAGCTAGGGTACGAATCCTGGAAGGCGGGGCCGCTCCACCGAAGTTGATCATTAGATTAGGCAAGGGAAACGATTCACCGGATGAATTGCCGATTATGCTCACCGATGAGGAGGAGGAGGAAGAGGAGGAACGGCATCCGACTGATAGCAGGGTAGGTCCTCCTCCGCCGGAACCGGCGAAGGATGAACCAGTTTATCCAGCGGTAGTTGCGACCATCGAGGAGAAGCAGCCAACCGATCCAGATACTGGCGGGAGTGCGCCCAGGAACGTTCGTTCGGCCAAAGTCACGCCCATCAGGTTAAAATTAACACGTTGTCACGAGGGTTACGAGCTGAAGGGCCCACCGGTCCATGGCGAGGAGTCCGGTTCAACGACGGAGAAGCAGAGTTCCGAAGTGACAAACGAGGAAACGAGGAATCCACCGGTAAAAATTCAAGAGGAGGATTATTCACAAGAATTTCGAAATATTATAAGTACGATGATACTCGGCCGTCACGAAAGATTGAAATGAATTAAACATAAAATATTGATTCTAAGTATAATTTAAATAACAGATGAAAAGGTATTAAAGTATCAGCGTTCAGTCATAGATAACTTCCATTTTTCTTTTTAAAACTTATCACATTCAAGAAAATAATTTACAACTAACATTATTTTATCACATACTTTTTCTTCTTAATAATGTATCGGTTTCTTATTTATTTGATAGTTTTACATACGATAGGACACGTAGTTTTTCTTGGGACGATGCATTTTTATCATCGCATGTGGAAGTTATTTATGGTCCAACAAACAAATAGTAACACTTTGTAGTATTAGATTTAAAGGTAAAATAGACACTAATTATCTGATCACATTCTATCAAAGTGTTCAACTATGAATTTGTACGTTGCGTTCCATCGTGCTTGTGATAATATTTCGGAATTTTCAGTTTAACATACATAACATCTCCGTTAAGAATTTTCGCGATCCACTGCACCTGTTCTGGTGCCTGAAGTTTCAAATGAGATTTGAGCAATATTTTTAAATAAGAAACAAATGGAATCGTTATCAATTTTACGGTATTACGAATGGAACGTCTTTTACACAGACTTCACTTTCTCACGGCGGCCGAAAACGTTCAGTTTGGTGAGAGGAAACAAGGTGATAGGAACTTCTAAGATATACTCGTTTCGGACTCACTACAAAGGACATTCTCCGACGTTATCGAAGAACCTATGCTCCTCGAGGAATCCGGTTTTATTCTTAACAATACTCGAGAGACGAAACGGGCGTGCCATTTCGCGGCGGCGACGACGACGACGAAATGTCTGTGTTTTTCCTTTTGCGAAAGAACAGACGAAGAACCGGTCGAGGCCGTTGACGATGATCTCTCCAAAGAATCCACGAAAACTTTAATAGCTTTGTGTTGTACATAACATGTTCATTCATTTAGAAATTCAACAAAACCAATAACGGTGGTACAGTAAGAACATTGTAAAGAAACAACTATATTTTCTATATTATTAATTCTGTTCAAGCATATATATCCACACAGTATGTTTGTATATCAACATCTGTAGTAACAAAATTTACATACAGCTATATAAGTTTGAATATAATTAATAATATTGAGAATCGAATCTCGTTATTAACCTCGAAGCTCATTATATGCAAGGTAGCCCTGTAACATTGGAACTTAAAATGCTTACAATATCATCATTTTGGATAATACGAGTAATATCTCTAGGGAAATCACATTATCTCAAACAGTTAAATGGGTTGAGATAAAATAAGCTTGCTGAAAAATTGCACCTTTCATTATCGGATATCTTTTTTTAGAAATTTTTTCAAAATGAAAACATGTGTATTGTAGAAAGTTACATCACAGGCAAAATATGATCTCCAAAATGCAAGCTATAAAGTGATATTATAGTTTCGAGTGAGAGAAAAATATTTATTTGTGCTATCAATGGTGGTAAAGGCATTTTAAAGATTACTGTTAGGTAGCTAATCCTCTGTAAATACAAAGTAAATGCGAAAAGTTGAAACATGTAAAGGATTCTAGAGAGCACTTCGTACACGGCCTTGTCAGCCCCTTCGCAGTAAGAACTAGTTAATTGTATATACTTGTAATCTACGATTGTATTTAGTTTAAGTCGATGAGACAGAGACGAAAGAATGATTGAATGAGCGTGTGCGTCTGAAGTGTGTAAATGCGCGCGAGAGAATTTTGTAATCAGTGCGAAGCTTACGTGATGGCTGTGTTTTACCACGCGGTCCGATCTTCCAGGCAGTCCTGGGCCGTGCAGAAACGTTCGGTAACCCCCTAATTAAACCGCTCAATATCATCCGAGTGGTTCCCTTCCCTCAACGAGAGGCCGTCTCTCGACATTTTACACTAGATGAGAGAAAGGGAAGTAATAATAGATAGTGTAAAAGAAAGCGGTAGAACAAATACGTGTATATCGGACGGAGTAATTCGAGAAAATAATGTATCAGATAATTCCACAAATACTGTCATTTCTAATATCATGTTTAGATTTAGAAATTAATAAGTGTACCTATTTTTCAATCACTGAGGTATTTAATTATTCAACTTACATCATTAAGTTCTATATATTAACCAATTTGGTTTTTTTCTGTCACAATATTGTCACTTTGATTTATATAAAGTGATTAGAAGAACGACGTTGGTTGTGGAATCATCTGATATTTTATAAATCAGGAAGCCGCCACGAGGACAATGCAGCTGCGCATCAGCCTTTTCTAGTGGAAAATGCAGAAATTCAATGAATCCGTATAGTCTAATCGCAATAGTCGTCCACGATTACGCAGTTGCCCATAGAGACATCCCATAAATATACATAATACGCGCAGCGTCAACTACGTCGATCAAAGCAAATTCGTAAGAACCGTATAACGCACGCATTCTTCATCGTTTTTACGAGTTCATTTGATATTATATATAGTATCGTAATCGTCAGAACGTCGTTCTGGTTTTTTTATATATAATATATATATTATATATATGAAAAAGTATATTTTACACCGAGTACAATGTTAATAATTTATTCTTATTTAGTGTAAATAAGTTCTATAGAGGAAGTATGTTTTTATACGATAGTATATATACATATATATATTATACATAGCATTATACATAGTTCGTTCCCTCTCCTTATGGTTTTTACGTGTTTACTTTGAAAGATTGATATATACATATAAATATATATTATATGTATATATACATATACATATAATATTATTATATATTATTTATATATATACATATAAATATATATATATATATATATATACAATCTCGAATCGAGTCGCGTTAAAATACATTCGATTCCCTCAGGGACGGCTGCGTAATTACGGGATTTTATTCCCATGGACATGTCGTTATTTTAATGGACTATAAGAGGATACATTGTACCTCACTTTATTGCCCGAGATACTTTCCCCAAGTTCGGTATTTTTTTTAAAAGCTTTTGTACTTGCAATGTAGTACGATTTCCCCTCCGAAGTTTTATGTAATAAGTACACAGCGGGTACAAAAAGATTTTTGCAGATTTTATAAATTGTTATACTATTAAAACTTTTTAACTTAATTTTCGACTGCATTAAGCATCGAAACGATATACTCCGTTGTACATTTCTTTGTCTTCTTTAATGTAATGTAATGTGTTAACTTAAGGTCACCCTGTTGTTTTTCATTGAACATAGTAATTTTTCATAGTTGATAATAGATATATTACATATGAAACGAGTGAATCTTGTTCGTCAAAAGGTGTTTTAAATTCTGTACAACTGTTTTCAATGAGTTTTACGAAAATCAAATCTCTGAAACTTCTTTTGTTTAATTTTAAATAAAATTCAACGTTTTCATTATAAAAAAGTAACACTCTCCGTAAACGGAAAATATATTTTTTACGCGAAGAAAATGATCTCCATTTAAAATTTTCATTCATAAAAGTATAACTTAGTATTACAATTTATGATATTCACTGTTACATGCGCAGCTACTTAATATTAACTGTACCAATTAATAATTTATTATCCTTCAATGGATTTAAATTTATTTTTAAAAAGTCGAGATCTTAATGTGCATGGACACCAGTTTTTATATGTTCACCAATGTTGTATATCATTTTTGTCAAGCAAAACGTTGAGAAGACATTTTTAATTTAGACCATGGATAGTTTATTAAAGGATATGAAAAATTAGTTATTGGTACATTTATTAATAGCTTGGTACATTAGTTATTGGCGCGTGAAGTCTTTAAAAATCTATAGATGACATGCAAAAATGAAATCATTAAAGAAAAATACGAACAGAGTGACCTACATTTGCCCTCAACATTTTTACTGAAAATCTGTAATATTTTCATCTTTTTACGGCTCTAATGAAATCATACATCATTACTACGGATGTTTTATAATTCTAACAAAGAAATCATAAAACTAAATCAAAATTAATGAACATTATTCGTATTATTTTTTTATTTAATAAATTCCTTAACAGATAACGCAAAATGGTCTTTGCAGTTAAAATTTGTAAAATGTCCTGTAAAATCTGGAATAACGATTGCAGCCTAGTAATTTCAAACAAATTTTTCTCGAAATATCCTGAAACTTGGGAAAATGTTTCAAGCGAAAAAGTTTGGTGTGACACCCTATATGTAATATGGTCGCGGCGTAATCCAGATCCGGATCGTGTTGCGTTCTCTTTGCAAACAGAAATTTTGTCCTCGTTCGTAACTCCGCCACGGTGTTAGTAACAGCGGAAGATTTCTTCCTGTCGCTGGTATTGCGTAACTTCCGCTTCCTTCTCCATTGTGAGAGCAAAGGAGAGGAAATTAATTAATTAAATAAGAGAAAATAATAATGATAAAACGTGACTTATTCGCTCAGAATCCCGGGGTACGGAATTTCTCTGCGCGGACCGGTGTACTTTCATCCCAGATCCAGTCAGCAAATCTCATTACGTCCGCTATTGCGTACTTATTGTTCTGTTCTCCTTCTTTTTTTTTTAATTAACACCACCACGGGAATTTTCGTTCCGCTGATCGAAACTGTTCGGAATCAAAATCAAACTTTTTACGAGTATGTAATGCGGAGATTCTTCACGTTAATGATAATTCCTGTGTATTTGTAGTTCTCTATCGTTTAATGTTATCTTTTAAGTATGTGTGTGTGTGTGTACAACATTACGCACACGTATGTATTATGTACAGATTCTCCCTTTAGAAATGTAACACGAAAGATTCCTTGTGCTACAATCACACGTCGAATTCTCAAAACGTGTTCTATTCTCGTTTTCTCTTTTTTTTTTTTTTATTAAGTTGTTGTTTATTACATCTTTTAAGTTATTGAGAAACACTATCACAGATTGCAAAACTTCTAACGCGCCGCACTCGCATTCCACGATGTTGTGCGCGTGTTCATCTAGGACGTTCAAGATTGTACTTGTTTTTATATGAATTTTGATACATCAATACTTGTGCAAGAGAACGTAACGAAAACGTTTCCTTAACGTGTACGAATACCTCGTAATGTTTTTTTTTTTTTTAATATCTTGTTGTTCGTTGTTTATCGATTTTACGAGGGATCTCATTTAATGAAATCCCCGCGAATGATAATGAGGGAATTGTGATCGATGGAAACAGTGCAAAAGAATTTTTTTTGTAAATCTTTTTTCTTTCTGGTAGCTTGATATCGATCTCAAGCGGCAACCATTTTTATGAATATATAATAGAAAGAAAGATCAACGTACAGCGTATTTATGAGTTGTAATAAATTTCTGTAGAAAATGGCGGTGCAATATGCTACGAATACCTAGAATTCTCTGTCTACTCGTGTAAGTGTTTCACTGCTTAACCGACGCCGTTAAAAAATTGGAGGCGAACTTTTAAATTTTTTTAATTTTACTTTTGGCTCAAAGATTCCTTTATTTATATAAACACGTCATTTTTAAACATTGCGAACTGAATATTTTGTCCTTCATTCAAATGTAGATCGTTTCGTTTCTTTTCTGGAAGTCTTTAAGCTGTTTATGAACCAGAAATACATGTGTACCGGAAACGGTGTCCCGCTCAACGTTGTCAATCTTGTGGCTACATTTGATATTGTACATTTTTGTTATTTATATCATCGATTTCATCTAGCAATTTTGTTTATATTTAAGCCGACCGTGCTGCGCGGACTCGGTAAAATAAACAAAAAACGGTACCATTCGTCACAGTGAATTTGTAAATAAGAAGATTAAAGTTGCAAGGCTGATATCAACACGTGAATTTTAATCGTTTCAATGTCGACTGGTTCTAGGATCGAAAGGAATGTTAATACAATATATTAAAAAATAGTTAGAATCCTGAATTTTGAAGAAGAGAAATAACGTTACGTGTCCTGGAAGCCAGGAAGCGAGAGAATGAGAGTGAGAGAAAAAGAGAATTTTGTCGACGATAAACGGAGCCTTAGCGGAGCCTATTACGTTGTACAGAGAAAGAGAGAGAGGAGAAATGAGAATTGAGAGAGTGAAAGTGAGAGAAAGAGAGAGTACGCGCGCGAAGCGAAATCGTTTTATTTCAAATCATTTCTTACTTACGCTAAGTATAGGAAAAAGAATCCGATAACGATAAATTTCTCATTAAAAGAACATAACCGTTGAACGCGTCCACATGTGACGACGAATGCGGACCCATACGACGAGCCGGACACATACGCGAGACATATATATATAAATATATAAATATATAAATAGTTTTATTATATTGCAAAGTGAAATAATACAATATTTAGCTACTGTATATAATGTAAAAGAAAAAGCTGGTCTTGTAAGATACGGATTAAGGTGTTTTAATGTGCACATAGCCGCGTCATTGTCAATAATCATATTATTACGATTAATAATAATTACAGTTTTTTAAAAAAAAGAAAATTGGTGTCGTAAGTCTTAAGCTATATCTTATCCTTATTCGACTGTAATCGTTATCCCTATAATGCACACAGCATGGGGTTACTACTGGTTCCTACTATCGGTTTGTTTTACTCAGATTTTCAAAGTACAAAGTTAATTAATTTTTAACAATTTTGTGATAATTATTGTACATCCGTTCAGTGCCGGTAAAGTATTATTTTTTGCTGCTAATAAGCAATAAACGATTTGAAAAAGAATAAAATTAAATTGAAAATGAATACATGCTTTCATGTATTTTTAAATGTTTGAAATGATTGTATTGTTTCGCTTATTCAACACTAGAGGACACTGGACGATTTACAGAAGTATGTATTGTGTAGTGCATGTGTGTACTTAAGTACAGTTCTGTTCCGTCAAAACAAAGAATCAGAAAGGAATTACGTTGGAAGTTCGTTTTTAGAGTACTTGTTCAATTAAAATTTCGAGCAATATGAAGCCCACCCCTGTAGCAGATGAAATGTTCCCCGAGGGTGCTGGATCCTTCATTGAATTGGAAGAGGTAATGAAATTAGTTTAAGGTTATGTTCATTTGCAAATGATTACGCATAAAAGTGTCAACGATGTAAAAATATTAATTTCGGCTACATATAGAAATTAATATAGTATTTTATTAATTATTTTTATAAAATCGTTGTTTTAGGTTGGAGGCAGTCGTTTATTAGTCGATCTTACTGCTAGTGAAAAAGCAGTGCATTCAGACTTTTTTAATGGTACGCGTTATCTTTCTGCAATTAAAAATGATTTCAACATTGTTGTTGTTATGATTGACGAATATAATAATAACGTCCTCTATTTTACAGATTTTGATGATTTGTATGATGATGATGACCTCGAGTGAACCAATGTTATATTCTATCAATAGTTGTATCAAAAATGTAGATATTTATTTCCATTGAATTTTTCAAATTATGAAATTGTAGTATCAATAGCCTTTTTCAGTTCGTGATCAATAAAAACAAGTTTCATATAATAACCTATAACTTGCTATGCTTTAAAACAATTGGGTAAGAATAATAAAGTAAACTCTGCATTGAAATAAAATATGCAATGTATTTTGTTGTATTGGTATCTTACAACATCCATAAAAAGGTTGAAATTAACGTACGGTAATGTCGTACATTTATGAATATAAAATTTTAAATTAATTACAATTAGTTTGATGTAGGTGAAACCTGATATTGAAGCAATTAAATGAATAAAGGAAGATAAATTGATGTACACAGTTCATTAACATTATTACAATTTATTATTTTTAGTTCGAAATTGAATCAGACGTGTGCCCGCGTTCAGAATACCTTTTATCTTGGTACGTCAGCTCGGGCGATATTAATTATAAACGTGCCATAAGAAAATGAGTACTGGTCATAATGTCTCGTACACATTAATATCGATATCATTGTAAAGATTATAATTTACAATACATAGATGCTAGTCATATAAACCTGTTAAGATGATGCACAATTAAAATAGCACCCCGGGTTTCAGTCGCGCCGCATAATATGGATTCTGTCGATCGACACGAATCGAGTCTCCTTATTTTCAATTGAGACGTTCTGAAGCTTTTCTCAGTTTTCATTTCTGCGCGATTTCTCTTTGCATTCATTTCATTTTTTTGTTTTTCTCCTTGGCCCCAATCGACATTTAATTCACCTTTTGACCATCCTCATTTCACATTAACAGACTTTTATCAACGGTGGCAACGAGGTTCTATTTACAAGAGACCCCCGATAACCGTTACTCGTGCGCATCTTGATTGCGTACGAGAACAAGAGCGATATCGTTGACGACCAAACCGAATACGCTACTAACGGTGACGTGTATCCTGGAAAGTAAATATATTGTAATACTAGAACATACAAATTATTGTGAATTTTAGATCATAAAAATGTGCGTGAAGCAATTTTATTGCAATCTTGAATTTATCAATTTATACTAACCCTGAGTCCAGCCCCGAGAAAGTCGTTCGGAGTGCTAGTTAACTTCAAGATCACTATCGGCTTGGTCATCTTGGTCGCTTTCCTCCTCCTCATCTTCTTCCTCGGAATAATACTGCGAGGGTGGCGACAGAACATCCTCGGAAAGTGAAGTGTGAGAAGATGAGGGAGGTCGAGAACCTTCTAATTTTGTGTCCAGGTCTTCCATAGAAGTACTTGGTCCAGGAATGGTCACTGGGATAAATTTCTCCAAATCACCACTTGCCAATTCTAAAGATAAATTATAACATTAAATAATCAATCATGCCATTGAACAGAAAAATTTAGATTACATATGAAACATACGCTCCACATATTTTTCAAGTGATTTCGGAACCATCAATTTAGCCTTTCGCAAATTGTCCTCGGCACATTCTCCTTTTTCTAAACCTAAAAGTAATTAGTTCATGTTAATAAAATTGATATTATCTCATAAAATTGATATTGCTTAATCCTATTTTAAAAACAACAATTTTTAAATATTTTAGCTTATAATAACAAAAAAATAAGTCCTTTACCAAACGCTAAACCCATTTGTTTTAGAACCTCGATATCGTCGTGAATTTCGAACTTATCGTTAAAATTGAACAGGTACTCGGTTCTGCAATACACATGATTCATTACTAAAAACTTAAAAAAGAGAGGACGCTTGTAACGGTAAAAATATACGCTTCCAATAAACCGTACTTGTCATTTGAAATGCTGCAATCTATGACAGTCTTTTTGCTGGTATTCACAATCAGGAATGGCAGCTGTATGGCAGAATTTGGTTTTGGTGGGCCACGCAGAATCTCATTGACACGATTACGCTCCACCAAATTTTTAAAAGAGATATGTGAGAGAATCAGTTGATGTAATTGTTGTGTTTTTGCCTTGATCCTCTCAATTTTTTTCTTTTTGTCTTTTTCAAGTGCCAGACATTCCTGAAGTGAATTAGTTGGCAGACCTAGCCACCTGATTTCTTTTTTCTCTTTTGAGATAATATTCATCGCCATTAAGACATTTAAAGCATCGTACACGCGTCTTCTAATGTTCTTCTGATCATATTGCTGCAAAGCAGAGATAATGTATCTTATTCGTTTTCAAATTTTCATTCATCATAATATGAAAAGGAAAATAGTGTACCTGATCTGTTAAGGAGTTTATATGAGCAGGATTAGTGAACTCTCCAACAAGTTCGTCCGCAACCTCGTTATATGATGTCGTTCCTTTCTTTTTAACTTTTTCACAGACTTTCATTGAAAAATGACGTAGTCCTTTCCCTACTTTCTCTGTTTTTCTTCGCTTACTGAAAATTAGTTGGACATTAAATTTCGTGTTCAATATATAGAGTATGATATAAAATATTGTAAAGAATGGATTATTACTCTGGTACAAAATCGCCACCATCAACATCTTGTCTTTTCCTAGACCCGCTGTGATCCAATATTGGACTGATATATGTCTTTCCACTTGCATCTTTTACAATTTGTTGATTTCCGGATTGTTGTTGCTGTTGTTGTTGAGACACTATTGCCTGTTTTATATCACTCTGCATAAAAAAAAATTAATTAACACATTTATTATTAAATTAATTTTATATTAAACAGACAGTGATAACTTGATTTAGAATACACTTTAAATTATTATAAAAAGAATATACCATTTGCGCCGATGTCAATTGTATAGTCTTGGTCAGTACTGGTTCACCAGCCTTGGCTGTTGCCAGTTTTGTGTTCTGCAATGGTATTGTAACCAATCCTAAAATAATCAAACAATGACTTTATTATCTTTCTTTAGACACATTTATTTTTATTAATACATTATTAATTTTTATTAATTATAGTATGTCACTAGTACTCCTAATACTATATTTTTAGGTTGCAAAGATTAACATTTGTTTACAATACTTACTTTGACCAGGGGTTGAAGGACTCTGAAGATTAAGAGTTCTAAGAACTTGTGCGTTCGATGACAAAACCTAAATCAGATAAATTTATACTTAAATTAATTGAAATAGTTTCATAGAAATTATTAAAATGTTTACTATAAAAAAAATAATTGGTTATGAAACCAAATTCCCAAAATTATCAAAATATTATACCTGAGATTCTTGGCTCGGAGTCTTAATGACTTTAAGGCCACCTGCATTTGTTGTACTAACAATACCACCCAATGCTTTATTGGCTGTACTCTGCACTACTTTTATCACTTGTGGATGACCTATAATAGGTATAATTTATGCTTTAATTTCTCCAAAACATAACAAAATAAACACATTGATTATATAAAATGAAGAAAAAACAAAAGTACATATAATACCTCCTGGACATATAATTCATTTCAAACAAGGATTCATATCATAATTATTAATCAAAATCCATTAGAGAAGGATATATAGAAGCATTACAAAATAAAAGCTTAATGAGTTATTGAATCATTTTTATCTAAAGCAACATAAAGCTGCTCTAGCACATGTATTTATATGATATCATTGAAAATAAGTACCCAATAAATAGTACATTAAACAAATAGGCAGTCTAATTTGTTATAGCTTCTACTATTTAGATATCAAATGTATGTTTATTTGAATGAAAGTATTGGGAAGTAAAAGTGACCTCTTCGGTTGAACAACTAAATGGGGCAAGTAGACACATTTTGGGAATAGAAAGGAGTTCATGAATAAAAGAAGATGATAAATATAATCGTTTAAGAGTGAAACTGAAGTCGATAGTACACTTTATTGAGTGCTGGATAGAAATATTGTGAGGCAGTGAGACATATGACCAATATGAATATGAAGATAAAAAAGACTTCACAGAGATTTGTAATTGACAAGAATCGTTTAGAATATAATAGAAATATGTGCACGGGTCCGGAGGGAAAGTGTCGGTAGAAGGAATAAGCGGTCTTAGCAGAAATGAAAAGAAATTAAGGCATTAACACCGAAGTGTGGCATGCTGATAATTGGCGCGCACTCGGCATACTCACCGTTCGCGTCATGTATGAGAAAGTTCATCGTTTTGTTTTGTTGCGTCATCCTCGAGGTTAGAATTCCGTCCCGGCGTCACCGACGATCACGACGATCGACCGAATGCCGAGTGAAAATAAAAAGATCATAGGTACACTCGCTAATCTTGGCTCGGTCTATCACCAAAATGGCGACTATGTTATAGAACCATTTGAGATCAGAATTTATGAATATACGGTGAAATAAACGTTCGAATGCACACACGAGAATAAAAGTCAGCCGTTTCTTTATTGAACTGAATCAAACATTTTAACAGAATCTTCATCCGTTCGCGAAACTAACGCACAGATTTCTGCCTTCCGCGTGCACAGTACGGAATAGAGACGAGCTTGGCGGCACGACAAAGTTAAACAGCTGATTGGTCACTTTCCGAGTCACGTGGCCCCTTCTGTTCCACGTTTATGGGCACTGTAATCTTTGCAAGAACAACTTGTCTCTAGACATGCGAAACACGGAATACTCTAGGATTTCGCAGAGGGATTATTTCCCCAGAGCAAGAAAAACCGAGGCAAACTTCACTAGAGGAATAACATTGGTTTAGGTAGGGTTCTACTATCTAATTGTAATACAGGGTCGCAGACAAAAGCAGCCGCACTTCCTTTCTACGAACCCGTGTTCAGAATTGTATCTATTTGCAACCTGCAATGTCGCATTCCCTTAATCGTTAATTCAGAGTTTAGAAAATGATACTGTACAACTGAAATTATTGTTTTAAATAAAAATCATTCATTTGTTAATTTATNTCTCTAATTAACAACTTTAATTTTTAAAGAAATAATAATCAGTAAACTATATAATATGACTTGATATATCTCTTTAATCTAAGTTCAAATAAATTTCATCTTTTTCATACGCGTTACTGATATATCTAATGAGATAAAATTTTCTAGTCAAATTACTAAACATCGTAAAAAAAATAATAGTAGGACTTTCAAATTTTCGCGCCTTTATTCAAAATTCATTGCATTGCGTATAGAAATAGCCCTAAGGATATTCTTGATGTTTTTAGGTATTCAAAATAGCAATACATATATATATATATGTGTATATATGTATAGTGTAAAATAATGTTAGAGGAATCTTCCTCAAAACTAATAAAGCCTAAATATTTTAATATCTCGTCATTTTAAAACAATAATTAATTGCCGCAAAAGAATAGATCGAATAGAAATTAGTTACGTTTCAAATAATGAGTCTTAGGTTGTAACGAAGCAAATTGAATCGCTATTTTATTTTCAAAGCCTTCTGATTGGCCAAGAAGAAAATTTCTAGATAGTCAAAACCAATAATCTTTTTGCAGAGTCGGCGTTAGTCGTAAAAGAATTTTGATAAGAGACGTCATAGAATCGTGCAATTAGTCAAAAGTTTTTAAAGATAAATAATTTATTCGTGGTGTTCTTTAAAAATATCTTTATAACACTGCGTATAATTAGAATCCGTTATCGACGGAGTTGTCATAATCGTATAAATTGTGCTTTTAATACGGTATACTGAATTGAAAAGTAGCTGCCTTATATGTGCGCTTTTAAAAGAATCGCATAGGATACCTCGAACCGAGGTTGAGGGTTCGTTCAGGGTCTGACTGAATGGTAAGATTATTTTAAGGCTCGCGAGGCGATTGAAACGCACAGGTTAAACGTTTACTACCTTCTTCGATAAACTCGCTGTCTAGCAAGTTGCATCTTAACGTCCTTCAGTCCCCTCGAATCTATCAATTATCATTTCTATTATTCGTCATTCTAGTAAAACCGTGCGAATTTCTTGTTGTTTTGCTAATTTCATTTTTTCTTTCACCTGAATCTCTCTATCGTCATTGTGTCGTTCATCGACTCAATAAACGACCTCCATTTTTGTTGCAACTATTTCGTTCGGTGTATTTCTTGCAGTATTGCTCCGTTTATTAATTTTTAATATTTTTTCAATCTTTTTGCAATTTGTCGACTGTAACTCTACGATAATTGAAACTTTTAGGTTAAAGTTAATGCAACCTTACTAGACAACAGGAATCATAAATTAATATGTATAAAATAATGCTTGTTAGTGGTGGATTGTAGTCTGCAACGAATTTGACATTTACATGCATAGATATAACCTGAAGGAACCTGTTTAACATCATTGACCACACACTTAATAGAACATGAAAAGTACATATGTATAAAGCATTTTTTTTCAAAAATGACACAAGGATATACATGAAATCAAGGATGTCATATTTAAGGAATACAAGAAGTTTTGTCAACAACATTTTTTGTCNCTAATTAACAACTTTAATTTTTAAAGAAATAATAATCAGTAAACTATATAATATGACTTGATATATCTCTTTAATCTAAGTTCAAATAAATTTCATCTTTTTCATACGCGTTACTGATATATCTAATGAGATAAAATTTTCTAGTCAAATTACTAAACATCGTAAAAAAAATAATAGTAGGACTTTCAAATTTTCGCGCCTTTATTCAAAATTCATTGCATTGCGTATAGAAATAGCCCTAAGGATATTCTTGATGTTTTTAGGTATTCAAAATAGCAATACATATATATATATATGTGTATATATGTATAGTGTAAAATAATGTTAGAGGAATCTTCCTCAAAACTAATAAAGCCTAAATATTTTAATATCTCGTCATTTTAAAACAATAATTAATTGCCGCAAAAGAATAGATCGAATAGAAATTAGTTACGTTTCAAATAATGAGTCTTAGGTTGTAACGAAGCAAATTGAATCGCTATTTTATTTTCAAAGCCTTCTGATTGGCCAAGAAGAAAATTTCTAGATAGTCAAAACCAATAATCTTTTTGCAGAGTCGGCGTTAGTCGTAAAAGAATTTTGATAAGAGACGTCATAGAATCGTGCAATTAGTCAAAAGTTTTTAAAGATAAATAATTTATTCGTGGTGTTCTTTAAAAATATCTTTATAACACTGCGTATAATTAGAATCCGTTATCGACGGAGTTGTCATAATCGTATAAATTGTGCTTTTAATACGGTATACTGAATTGAAAAGTAGCTGCCTTATATGTGCGCTTTTAAAAGAATCGCATAGGATACCTCGAACCGAGGTTGAGGGTTCGTTCAGGGTCTGACTGAATGGTAAGATTATTTTAAGGCTCGCGAGGCGATTGAAACGCACAGGTTAAACGTTTACTACCTTCTTCGATAAACTCGCTGTCTAGCAAGTTGCATCTTAACGTCCTTCAGTCCCCTCGAATCTATCAATTATCATTTCTATTATTCGTCATTCTAGTAAAACCGTGCGAATTTCTTGTTGTTTTGCTAATTTCATTTTTTCTTTCACCTGAATCTCTCTATCGTCATTGTGTCGTTCATCGACTCAATAAACGACCTCCATTTTTGTTGCAACTATTTCGTTCGGTGTATTTCTTGCAGTATTGCTCCGTTTATTAATTTTTAATATTTTTTCAATCTTTTTGCAATTTGTCGACTGTAACTCTACGATAATTGAAACTTTTAGGTTAAAGTTAATGCAACCTTACTAGACAACAGGAATCATAAATTAATATGTATAAAATAATGCTTGTTAGTGGTGGATTGTAGTCTGCAACGAATTTGACATTTACATGCATAGATATAACCTGAAGGAACCTGTTTAACATCATTGACCACACACTTAATAGAACATGAAAAGTACATATGTATAAAGCATTTTTTTTCAAAAATGACACAAGGATATACATGAAATCAAGGATGTCATATTTAAGGAATACAAGAAGTTTTGTCAACAACATTTTTTGTCTCTGAATTTGGAGCAGTTACAGTGATAGACTAAATCACGTAATTTCTTATTCCAAATTTTATTTTAATAACTTTTTCTCATGTATTTGCTCATATTTACACCATTAATTGAAATTATTTTAATTTGCAAAATTTTATAAAGTTTTGAGTTAGTATGATAGAAAATTATTTATTATTATATGATGAAAGATTAATTGTATCTAATGCAATTTATGCATAACATATACCGAGTTAAGACATGTAACGTCTTTGTTATGTTCACATGTTCCACTAGGTCTGTACATTGTGAGAAACATGCCTCTGTTCGGAAAGTCTCAAAAGAGTCCGGCGGAGGTCGTAAAAGCTCTTAAAGAAGCAGTAAATGCATTGGAGCGTGGTGATAAGAAGGTAGAAAAGGTATGTTGTAAAATTGATTTGTGGTTTCTATGATGCAGTATGTTAATTTTCAGGCTCAAGAGGATGTCAGTAAAAATTTGGTACACATAAAAAATATGCTTTATGGAACAGCTGAGACAGAGCCCCAAGCAGATATTGTTGTTGCCCAATTGGCACAAGAATTATATAATAGTAATTTGTTGCTTTTACTTGTGCAGAATCTTAGTCGTATAGATTTTGAGGTATGTCAACATTTGTTCTGAATGCAATTTAAGATCATAGGTAATGCCCATCCATGAAAAGATGGCACAGAGAAACTTGTAAAGATCTATCCCCCACCATTTGATCTCCTATACCCTAAGAGTGGGGTTTCTCTGTACCCCATGGTCGACATCTGTACCATTTTTTTATGGTGGGCAGTACATAAAAACATATGTATCATTTTTAGATACTTATCATTAGTAACAAAGATAAACTGTTATATGAATGTAAAAGTTTATTTGGTTTGAACCTATAAAACGTAATAATTTTATGCTTATCCTTATTATCTATTAATTATATATTTTCTATTTAATTCTACAATCTCTTTTAATTTTTTTTTGTAAGTGTTTAATTTCCAGTTCAAATGTTACAGAAGAACCAGCAGTTTCATATCTGAAAAATATATCTGGGAAAGTAATTTTTCATCTTGACAGTGTTAGATTTTAAACTTTTTAAATGACCAAAAACTTATTAACAAACAGAGTGTAAAACAAAGTGTAAAGTGCAAAAGTTGTAGAATTAAATGAAGTATTAAATATGTTTAAATTGACAATAATTGACATGTCAACATATTAAGAACCTTTTATGTAATGTTCATTCTAATATTTATTTCTTTTACAACATAATATTTAATAGGGAAAGAAAGATGTCGCGCAAGTGTTTAACAATATACTGCGAAGACAAATTGGAACCAGATCTCCAACAGTGGAATACATATGTACCAAACCAGAAATATTGTTTACTCTTATGTCTGGGTAAGTGAAAAATAAAATTCAGATTGCTTTCCTTTTAAATTAGATCATTACTAAAATGACCCAAATAATTCTAGGTATGAGCACCAAGATATCGCCTTAAATTGTGGCACTATGTTAAGAGAATGTGCGAGATACGAGGCTCTGGCTAAAATAATGATCTATTCGGATGACTTTTACAATTTTTTCAGATATGTTGAAGTATCAACCTTCGACATAGCTTCCGACGCATTTTCTACATTCAAAGTAAGCGATGATAAGCGCATGATATATCGTACTTAAAGTAAAGCAATACTGTTGGTGCATCCGGTACGTTGGTTTTTAGGAATTACTTACCAGGCATAAAATACTGAGCGCTGAATTTTTAGAAATAAATTACGATAAAGTTTTCTCTCATTATCAAAGGTTATTGAATTCGGAAAACTATGTAACGCGACGACAGAGTTTGAAACTGCTAGGGGAACTTTTACTTGATAGACATAATTTTACCGTATGTACAATTTTAATTAGTTTATTTAAAAATATGTATTTTTAAATGTGTACACTTAAAAATGCAGTTGTATATCGTGATTTTCAAATTTCAGGTAATGACACGATATATTTCAAATCCTGATAATCTGAAGTTAATGATGAATATGCTTAAAGAAAAATCGCGTAATATACAGTTTGAAGCGTTTCACGTTTTTAAGGTATATCCAATCATTTATAAATTATTAACATTCCTTAATAATTTGCTTGTTTTAGTATTAGTCTTTTAGTATTCAATAGATAATAATGCCCGGTTAAGTGTCGCTGGTCTAGTATTTTCTCGTGCTATCGTACTCTAAGTAGTGTAATGTTTTTTCAAGCTCACTCATCCTTAAATGATTCAGAAGATAGAAGCGTTGAAGTAAGTAGAAAGTTTGTTAAGTATAGACACGGATCATGCCTCGAAAATCTTGTCAGTTCTAAGAAGTAGAGGAGATAGAAAGTGCCAATTAACTAAGGAAGAAACGCAACAATTAACCGAGCATTATTGTATTAAATATATCTGTTGTTTATTGTATAAACGATCTATCAAGATCGTAATCAGTATTCTTTCCTTTTCCTGAAAGCATTAACCGAGAATATTTAAGGAGAGAAAAACCCGAATAATGTGGGATTTTAAAACAAATTCAGAATTTTTCAGCGTATTTAATATCCGATGCTTACTTTGCAGAGTGGTATTTATTATTCTAGGATATTCAAGACTGTTATATTCCGGAATAATAAAAGAGAATTGTATAAAATGCAAAAAAATTCTCTTCGAATTTTTATATTCTAATCTGTACTCATAATTACGTAGGTGTTCGTGGCAAATCCAAACAAGCCAAAACCGATACTAGACATTTTACTGCGCAACCAGGAGAAGCTAATCGAATTCCTGACACGCTTCCACACTGATCGTTCCGAGGACGAGCAATTTAACGACGAGAAGGCGTACCTAATTAAACAAATTCAAGAACTTCAGTCTGTACATGAGAATTAAGTCCTAAATACAAGTTATTGCTACAGCTACCGTTAACTACTACTATTGAAGTCTATTCAGCTGCTGTTGCCACTGTTACACCATCACAGTCACCGATGTAGCCAACTATCATTATTTTCTTCCTCTCTTTCTGGCTCTTACTCTTCCTTTCTTTCACTTGTTATAATTATCGTTGGTCGATTCGAAATGATTCGATTATTATTATTATTAATTATTATTATTATTATTATTATTATTATTATTATTGCTATTACTTTTATTTGCGAGTAGATCTGTAAATAAAGTTTTTCGTTTAATTGCGTACTACTGTATATTATATGAAAATGATTCTAAGTCACATACGTATATTTCCACCTAAATGAAAGTTCATTAAATTGAATAACAAAAAAATATAGGCTTATGAGATCTATGTTCATTTCTTTTAGCATTCGGATGCTAAATAATAATATCATAACTGCACCGTCTAACAATTAGTTAATGCAAATCTACGTTACATAGCTAAACAAATTTATTATCGATAGATATTTAGTTACTTAAAAATATGGAATTCAATTAAGAAATACAAACATTCGATCATAAGAAAAAGCGCTTAATTTGAATGGTAGGAGTATCACGTGGTTTTTCATCGCAGAAATCCTCACACATGATGGTGGTCAGATTCAGTCAGATTAGGCTAGTCAATATAGTGATCAGTATTGGTAAAAAAATTTTGTATTTGTATCGGTGGTTTAGCATTATTTACTAACAAAAATTACGTTTTTTGTTGTTGTAAATACGCTAAAAATTAATATTTCAATGCAATTGTAAAATAAATAGAATTGTCATTAAATGGAAATCGTAAAAGTCGAGAATTTGTGTAAAGTAAATTCAATGGAAAACGAAATTACATGAAACTGCTCTGATCTGTCATGACAGGTGATATATTTGTTAATAAGGAATATGGAATAAATAAAAATGTTCGTAAGAGACCCTTGTGGCATTGTGTGCATCATAGTCACGTACATTGCTGTATTTTATGCAGATTACGTCGTTGTACGTTGGGTTATTTTGCCTAGTTTACAAGACAGGTAAGCATTTATAATTTATACTTTTATCTATAATATGTGTTTACGTTTATTGATAGTATTATTTGAATGAACTATTATACAAACCTGAATATTCTATTTCTTCCTTATTTTAAATATAACATAACATAACAACTGAAATACCTTTAAAAATATATATTATCTTTTTTTACACTTTGAAAAAATGCCTATAAATAAAATCAAAAGAAATATTTATGACAGTGTGCAATGATTTATAATTAACATTTTTTTATACATTGTGTACAGTTTGTGGGGTCCCTTTCATGTAGTGGCTTTCAACACTGTTGTATTATTATTGATAATGTCACATTTGAAGGCAGTCTGCAGTGATCCTGGTGTTGTACCACTACCACAAAGTCGTATGGACTTTTCTGATATTCATACAGATAATTCAGAGACAAAAATTGAATGTGATGAAAGAGACAATTGGACTGTGTGTACTAGGTGCGAAACTTATAGACCTCCCAAAGCCCATCATTGTAGAATTTGTAAACGATGTATTAGAAGATGGGATCATCATTGTCCCTGGTATGCCATAAACTATATATACTAATTTATGAATATTATTCATATTAATATGTATGTTTATAGTTCATTTAATTTATAGTTTCTTTCTAGTTTCTAGATTTTGTGAATTTCTTTGCTTTAATAAAGAAACTTATATCATTTTTGAATTTTAATATTTATTATCCATTGAATGCTTAGTATTTCTATAAGTTTTACATATTAATAATTGGTTTACTCATAATGCAATGGGTATTACTGAAGGAATAGAACACTTGAATATATGTGATTAATTTCACAATTCATAAACAAATACATAAGATCATTTTTGTATGGTTTAAATATTTTAAAATATATGTCAGAAATTACATATATTGTTTACTTAAGAACTCAGTCGTTCTGTTTCTTGAAATGTATTCTATATTACATATGTTAAGTATATATGATTTTCAATATATATATGTAACATTGGATTATTAATAATATTGCACAAAGGATAAACAACTGTGTGGGAGAAAGAAATCAAAAATACTTTATCCAATTTCTGGTCTATGTTGGAATATTGGCCATTTATGCACTAGGCTTGGTGATAACGTCATGGGTTATAGAATGTTCTCATTGTAGCAATGATATGGCCGTCAAACAAACGCGCATGTATGTTTTATACGAATATTATTTAAAAATCATTTAATTAATTTTCAATAAGTTTAAAAACATTATCTAATGTAAATATAGAAATAGGTTGTTAATAAAAAGAAGTTGATTTTAATGACAATTTTTTCTACAGCTTGCACTGCGTTATATTGGTGTTGGAATCAGCGTTGTTTGGCATGTTTGTCATCGCAGTACTGGTAGACCAATTTCTAGGTATTCTGGGAGAAGAAAACACAATGGAACGTGTGCAAAATAGTCATCATTATAAGAGAAATAGTTCACGTACTTTTGTGTTACTGTCTCAGGTTTGTGGTAAGGGTCATCCAATTTTGTGGATGCTCCCATGCCAAAATCCACCAAAATATACTTTCAGAAAAGATGCGTACCTGATTGATCATGAAATTTAAGCACACATGTAATTAATTCTTGAGTAATAACTGCTTTGTTGTGGCTTTCTATGCCATAATTATTTTCTTATAGTTATCAAGAATCTTTCCATTATTTAATGCATAAAAAATGAAATTCATAATACATTGAAATATATATATATATATATATATATAGGGTGACCTATTTGAATATTTGAATTTAATTATCTCCTATAAATTATAGGTTGCTTCTAGCAATGTTCTAAATGAAACTTACTCTGTTTCGAGGAGAATATCTTATGATAGTCAGAAATTCTCTCTAGGTGGATGTGCTCCGAGATTTTAAGGTGACCTTGACTTTTTTAAGTGAAATATTACGTTTTTTCTAGATAAGCTTGTAGTCCATTCTAATGCGAATTCATTGACCTATAATACTTTGGTCTTTCAAGGTCGTCAAGGTCATTTAATGCCGCTCAAAATTTACCTTCGTTAAATGTCCCTAAAATTGATCTAGTCCGAATATTTCCTCGAGTTGTGCGTAAACATCATGCAAACTCACAATAATGAATGTTTCGTTACCAAATAGGTAAAGTTAGAAAGACCACAGTTTTATAAGTCAATGAATTCGTCTTTGAATGGATTGCAAGCTTATCTAGAAAAAAAAACAGTTCCATTTAGAACAGTTTCATAAGCAACCTATAGTTTAGGAAATAATTAAATACAAATCTTCAAATGGATCACCCTGTATATATATAAAACATGACATAAATAATATAATATATAACATATTTTTTTATCCTTTTTTGAACTTTGTTGAATTTCCTAATCTTTTATAGTATTAAATTTATTTAAACATAGTGATATGTACAGGAAGATGAAGTGAAAAAGAAGGATTCTTTTGTGAAATATGTAATAGCTTTTATGGATGTTGTATATTATTATCTTCGTTATATTATTTTATCTTAGATTTATTACAAGATATTAATTATAAAAAATGAAATATTAGATCAATGTATTGTGAAGCATTAATTTGCAAGTCATTCCATAATATTAAGTAAATCTTTCAAAATTACAAATTTACTAAACATATAAATTGAACCGAGTATTAATAATTATAATTAATACTAGTCTTTTAATGAAACTTGCAAATTCGCATGTATAGATCTTTTCAATATACTTTTAGCAAATTTTTATTACAAATATATGTCCCTATGATATAGGATGCATCGTTCCAATATGCATCTGTCTCTTATACACATCTAGATGTGTATAAGAGACAGGACTACAAGCTTATCTAGAAAAAAAAACAGTTCCATTTAGAACCTGTCTCTTATACACATCTAGATGTGTATAAGAGACAGGACTACAAGCTTATCTAGAAAAAAAAACAGTTCCATTTAGAACCTGTCTCTTATACACATCTAGATGTGTATAAGAGACAGGACTACAAGCTTATCTAGAAAAAAAAACAGTTCCATTTAGAACCTGTCTCTTATACACATCTAGATGTGTATAAGAGACAGGACTACAAGCTTATCTAGAAAAAAAAACAGTTCCATTTAGAACCTGTCTCTTATACACATCTAGATGTGTATAAGAGACAGGACTACAAGCTTATCTAGAAAAAAAAACAGTTCCATTTAGAACCTGTCTCTTATACACATCTAGATGTGTATAAGAGACAGGACTACAAGCTTATCTAGAAAAAAAAACAGTTCCATTTAGAACCTGTCTCTTATACACATCTAGATGTGTATAAGAGACAGGACTACAAGCTTATCTAGAAAAAAAAACAGTTCCATTTAGAACCTGTCTCTTATACACATCTAGATGTGTATAAGAGACAGGACTACAAGCTTATCTAGAAAAAAAAACAGTTCCATTTAGAACCTGTCTCTTATACACATCTAGATGTGTATAAGAGACAGGACTACAAGCTTATCTAGAAAAAAAAACAGTTCCATTTAGAACCTGTCTCTTATACACATCTAGATGTGTATAAGAGACAGCTATGATATAGGATGCATCGTTCCAATATGCATACTATTTAGTCTCAACTGCACTATTTTTTTACAAATATTTATAAAATTTACTTGTATTCAATTTATGCAAAATTATTAAAAATGATACGCATATTTTTTTATAATATTTGTATGTATCGTGGAATTATAGTAAAGAGCATTGTAATGTTATAAAAAGGAAGTGAGGATCAATACAATCGAAATTATTTACATACAACGATTAAACGAAAGGAAAACTTGCACTATTTTGTGTACGAAAAGCATTTATTTGAAAAGTAGATTTTAAAGGCAAGCAGCCATTAAACCAGCAACGTTTTCAAAGTCTATTTTTTCTGTAATATTCTTTGTCTTTATGTTTTCGTCTTGATTGGCGATAAAGATAATCGTTTTACTCTCTTCCTTCCATCCATATTTTTTCACCCAATGTTTTAGGGTATTATCTGAAATTAAATTTGCACAAAATGATCTACCGATCTATGTCACTTTTATTCTTTGTGAAAATAGATATTACCATCAACACCGCCAAGTAGTTGTGCCAGTAGACTCTTATCTATAGTCTGGAATGTTATTCCCACTACATGGCAAACAAACTTCCTTATTGAGTCTTGGAAACCTACAATTCTGTCGCAAAGTTCAGACATTGAAAATACTCTGTCCCAAAAGTGCTGAAAGTCACACTGCTCTAAAATATCTCCTAGGTACATAATTTCGCTAATAGGACTTTCTTGCATCTGTAAGAGAATTCAATTTATTTAAGCATATAATAATTATATATTTTTATATATTAAATAATTTTGTAAAAACAGACTGATTTCTAACTGATACTGATCAATTTTTAAAATGTAACATGTACTTCAAATATGTATGCATTTTAGGACAAATTGTGTTATAAGTTAATTATTATATTTATTTATATTTATAGCAGTCATACCTATTTAATGTTTGTTGTATGAATAAATATGGCAGCTGTTTTTCTATATGTAGGAAAGACATGAAATTGTAAATATATTTATGAATAAATAACTTACGATTCTTTCACTGAGGAGACATTTGCAAAGAACAAAATCAGTGTGAGGCAGATTTGTCAGGGCTTTTAATAATATCTGACAAGTAATATCCATATTGAATCTATGCGGATTTAATTGATAAAGTTTTAAAACTGCTAGATTAGCTTCTAAGTCATATGCATTTTCTCTTGATTGTATTTCAACATATTTTTCCAGAGTTGCTAAATGATCTGGATTATACCTGAAATTATATATGTTTTACTTCATTCATATAAAATATTATAATTGATTTTACAGTTGCATCCGGTACATGTGAATATGTATAACTCAATAAGATATTTAATGTAAGAAAATTAATTTTTAATTTCAATTCTTTTAAAATGATCAATATATTATTCTCATAAAAATTGTTAATATGTATGTTAATAAAAATTACATTTTAATATATCTGTGTACTCATTATAAAAAACAAATTAGTATGTTAAGGAATTTGACAAGCTGTACGTACCTTTCAATGCCTTTCAGCATACCAGCCACGGTTTGCCGCATTGCTTCTGCCATTTTAATAATACAAACTTCTCAAACTTTACGTTACAATTAAATACAAGCAGATTATTGCTTTAATTAATATGCAATGTAGAATATGGTTTTGGGTTAGGAAATGTTCACGCCGTGACAGAACATTCAAGGCTACCAAATTTGACATATGCAGATACCAACTTTTTGAAAGTTTGATATAGAAAATAAACGTATGTCAATCAAAAGTATGTTTACGTATAAAATTGTTAATAGAATATAACTAAATTAATATTCTGCATTCACAATTACTCGATACGATGTCTTCAATTGATATTTAATTGCATAGTGTTTTATACTGTATTTACTAAAAGGCTCTGATTGTAAATGGGTAACTATACCGGCAAAAACTTCTCGCGCCATCTATGATTTGACGATAGGTAATAGTGTCTGTAGTGATGACATGATAACGCTAGTTGTAGCTAAAATATTTGAAACAAACTTCGATAATTGATTTTAATTAATTAATTTGAAAATTTTTGATTAACAATAACAATTTGTGGTAACACATTATTATAGTAAAGCATCCATGCTTCTGTTCACCACATTTTCTTCTGTGAAAGTTCTCGGTAGTTTATAAACTTTCGAGCTATTAAAGTGGCTCTCCAATACCCTAATTTATAATTAGCGAGGAAGGTATTAATTATAATAACAATTTGATGAATTACATTACTTCTTTTCGACTATCGCACATTTGACACATCTGGTGATATTTAAAAAAAAAGTATCGAATATTATAGCAACATTAATGATTTTTAACACTTTACCTATCAAATATCGTGTTTATTCAAAAGAAGCTTAATAGCTTTTTTTCAATAGAAGTCCTGAAAATTTCGAAAAGGATAGAAATTACTAGACTATGCTCCTCGCAATGACTAGTTGCTTTACGAATGAAATTACTGGCGTTATTGAGAAACTACTGAAGTCGTTAAAAAATTTCCTGGGATATAAATCACATTGTGGGACCAAAAGACGAGGATGCCTAATAAAATAATACAACTATGTAAAAACGGCGAAAGATTGAGCTAAACCATCGGTTCGACAATAAGTAAACTTGGAGGAGAAAAATGGTGAGAAAGAAACACGCGGGCATGCGGCGTTCAACGCATCGAGGCGGTGTTAAAAAATTGACGGATTAAGGTGATCGACGAAATCAAAGATGGTGCGACTCGTAAAAAAGATTTGACCCGCAAAGCGATTCTTAACGTGGTTCCCGCGCCACTTCCCGCACATCCTCTAGTCATTGGGGATGCTCCCCTCTGCCGTTGCTGCCCGTTAACGAGCAATCAAACTTATGTGTGCGCGCGCGAGCTCGTGCGCAAGGTATAGAAATTAATCTCACCAAAAATTTCCTGTTTTACGAAAATGTGAAAAAAAATGGGGAGCCCACGATCACGTTTCCGATCGATCTCGGCCAACCGGAGCTGAAGATCGAACTTTTCGTATTTGTCGGCCGATGAGTGCTTCCGGACGTTACTTCCGGTTACGTGAAAGCACAATCAAAAGATACATTTCTGACGAGTATCTTCGTCTTTTCAGATATTTGTCTATGCCGCTGGATCGACCTAACAACCAGTTTCTATCTATAGTATATGCTTTGGGGATTTGTGTGAGTTAATGTCGATCATCCTGATGATCTATATTACAGTGTGTACCCAGAACGGATGTAGCGATAGATCGGTGTCACGTGAACCCTCCGGATATACTAGCTTCCTAGTCTTGCTCACCTACTTTAACGTGCTCTTCCATTTCGTCGGAAAGTATAGAAATTTGGTACATGCGGAGGACAGATCCCGCTAACGATGATCATCAGCAACGGAATTAGGCTTCGTCAATTATTTAGCGATTCTTGTTGACCAAGAAACTATACACGTTTCGTTGATCCACGTGCATCGCAGAATTTCACTCGCGGATATATTCGATTAAACTTTCATGAATGAAAATTAGCGATCAACTTCGCAACCTGTATCTTACGTTGAAGTACAAAAACGGCTGCTTACAATGTACAAACCACTTTGACCATAGAAATCGATTCACATTCGAACAGATCATATGTTATTAATAAATTTAAATTAAAGTTAAAGCGAACATCGACCTCATCTACCATTGTAGATCTAAATGATTAACTGTTTTTTTTTTTAATATATCATTCATTCGTAACGATGTTTTTACGGACGAATGAGAGAAACTATTTTGTATTTTATTAACTTTCGCCTATTCAAGCGATCATTGCATTATAAATCAGTCATTATATGCAATATAAATTCTTTTGATTACTTATGCGCGTGTTTATATAGATTCTCTTGTTTATATGCTTCTTCGCAAAGAGCTTTATTGCGTACAATATTATTGCACGAGTTGAAGGGTTTAGCCAGTTAAGAGTAACACAAGAGTGTCCATTATTGATATCTAAATAAATTGGACCATTTTACTTTATCTTAAAGGTTCGTAATTTAGAATAACAAATAGAGTCTGCATTATGGTAATCGTCATGTGTTCTCATTAAATACGTATTCGTATGATGTCTTGTAATCGGTACAAAAAATCATTTGGTACTGGTAATTATTTTGGTCTGGTAATTTGGTACAGAAAGGTTGCAAAAGTCAGCAGCACATCTCAAATAATACCATTGTACACCATCTCGCACGACAGCGATGCAAGATTTTCGCTAGGAACGGACTTTACAAAAACGTTGCCTTTGTCTCTGATTGTCCAGTAATCAACGTCCTCTCGACTACCAGCACTTTCGCATGAAACGGGCGATTTGCTGAAGGCTCTCGAGGCACGAAAGCAGTTATCGGGTTGTGCAAGATCCAGCGATGCCCGCGCGCAACCGTGTAAAAAGAAAAACATGTATGGCCGCGCATGTATCGGAACATTGACAATAAAGAGCACAGCAGCCAGGATAGCCGTCAACTTGATGATGATATACTGCTGCGATCTTGGTGACCCTCTTCCTCCTTGTTTTCCTCGTCCCCTCTTGCTCGACGGAGCGGGCGCGCGCGCGCGCGCGCGCGTGTTCGCGCGATCGTATTCGCGCGAGCGCTCGGCCCGGCTGCGAGTGACCGCGCGCGGAATAAACGCGTGACACCGATGTAAACGGCAAGGGTGGACCGGGGGCAAAAAAGGAAAAGGGGGATCCCCCGATTTCGTACCCCCGATATTTCAGCTAGTTCGCCGTCGAAAGCGAACTCCCGATTCCAGTTCTGAGCGGGCCGGCTGAGCACTCGCATCGCCATTCGGAGACGCGTCCCGAAACAGGCATCGAAAGTTGACAGAAAACATCGGGAACAGGAAACGAGCATCCACCGAGGCGAGAGACGAAAGACGTTCCTCGTAGCCGGAACCGTTTTTCACGCAGGGGCGAAACGCAAAAGCGTGGATTCCTTTTCGGGGGAGAACGTGATCGATGATCGTATCGCGGCTAACTCCGCCAGGATCAAGAGAGGTCAGTTCTTGATCGATTCCTGTCGCTGGATTCCACGAGTCCGGAGTGTATTTCACGCCGAGAGGACGAGCTTCGCTCCCAGAAATGCCGCCCGTTTGAACTCTAATCGAGCTGTTGCGCGAAGGATCAAGAGTGCGCCAGTGACAGTGCGTAGAATTCTCGCCGGGAAAAGTTCCGAATTCGTCGTTTCTCTCGTGCGACTATTTACCCTGCCCATAAGTTTCCTGTCCGCATCGGCAAGGATCGTCTTGCCGCCGGGGTAACTCGCGAGAAACCAGCGAAACAGCGAGAGGAAGAAGAAGGAAGAAGGAGGAGAAGAAGAGGAGAAAGAAAAGAAGAGATCGTGATATACCGGGAACCTCTGCTACCCGAAAGACAGTGTCCTCAGATCGAAGATTGTTTCGAAACAGGTTCGTATGCGTTTCAAATTCCGCCGTACGGAAACGTAGATAATACCGTAACACGTGCGGCAACATTGTTGATTCCTCGAGGGTCACGATTGGTCGAGGATTGTTCGGCGCGCGATCGGAATGCCCACCGTTCCGTGCGAAAATTTCGGGGGCTGTAATTAGAGCCTGCGGAGGAATTCAAGATCGCAACGATGTCGGTTACGCGGAACAACGCGTTCTCGGTTAATTAGAATATAGCTGTTTTTTATGAGCGTGGAAGAGGAAGAGGGAGCCGAGCAATAGATCGGTCGCGAAGGGGCCGGGGAAGGATGGAGCTTTGGGGGAACGGGCTCGGGATATTCATCATAGGGTTCCCCAGCCGGACATTCGTATTTAACCGTGTTGCATCGATGCTACTTTTGCGCCTTAATTCTTTCTTATTGGTCCAAACGTGTATGCCGGTCCTCGCGCTGTCTTCTGGTCTCCTGTCGCAGAACCGGAAGCGCTGCTGCTCGCCATTGTTCCGAGCGGGATTTCGTGAGCGTATACGAAATTGAACTTTATATCACTTTATCCGATCGTTTGTCCGTATATTCGACAGCTCTCATTTCATCCATTGTTCGTAGTTGCACCGATCGTAAAAGATCAGTTACAATAACAATATTTGATGTTAAAGAGTTCAGGAAGTATTTTTTAGAACTGCGAGGTGTATTCGAATTGAAGGGAGATGTTGAACCGACAGATGAAATGGTGCGCAATAATTTTGATGTTGCTCGTGTTACACATTGGCGCATTGTTCTTATTTAATTTATTAAATGGAAGTAAGAGATAATTTTTAGGATTCGCGAAAGAAACAGATTAACGGGATAAGGGGTGCAACTATTTGAACCTTGTACGACCGACACAGATCCTTGAAATCTTCTGAATAGAAAGGTTATTTACAGATTTATTTTTCGTTGAAAACGTTTTCATTTGTCGATGTGGATTAGGATTTTAAAGTATAATTTAAAGCCGTATCTTTTACTTTATTTCCATCGACGAACCAAATGCTATAATACTATTAGACCACAGACAATTTTGTTGTTGTTGAATTTGACTTTACATAATTTACATTCGTGGTTGTAAGAAAACAAAGCACAAGGCATTTTTATTGTCGCTTCTATCCTTCGTGAAAAGAGAATATTATTCCTCAGGGGAAGGGGTTGCACACAGATGGGAACTTATTTTTTACTATTAAATCTTTTTTTTTTGCTTATTCGGTTGTTCCGAAATTAAAATTTGCTTGTCACTTTCATATCACAATAACAAATCAATGATGTTACGTAAAAATCGACGGACTATGCGTTGACATAAGAAATAATTATAGGAATTGATTTATTAGGCAACGTGAATCTTTTCTTCTCGTGTCAGAGACAGCATGATAAATTCTTCGTCCTGATTTCAAGTCGTCTGGTATTCTTCAATATTTAAGGGTAATAATCTTCCGCAGATTTTCCACGTGATGAAACGCGAGTTACATCCGGCATCGGAACAAGAACTCGGTCGAATCGTTTATCAAAAATTGCATCCTTCGCAAGAACCTTGAGAGAATCACGAACAGCACCTCGTAAAAATTTTCAAAATACTAGAAGCAAGTTTTATTTGATCTTTTGCAGCTGAATTAAAGTTATCGAACGATAAATCAATCTTTAAAATTTTTTAATGAAAAGAACGATTTTGCCATTAACATTGGTTATAGTATCGTCTCGTATATATCAGGTTACTTTAGTGTGGTAAATGTTAAGTTTTACAGTAGAATATTGAAAAAGTTGAAGAATCAACGTTTAAAGGGATCTTAAAAAGGGTGTATTATTCATCGCCTATTTAGAAATGTTAGATGTTTTTTGAATGTAAGATCTAAAAAAAAAACGTGAAAGGTGCAGTATATGGATGACCTGTGTTATTGTCGACAGAAGCTCTGTTATGTATTCGCGGTAGTTGCGCGAGGTGTGGAGGAACACGCGAGAAAGGAAACCGGAAGCGACGGAACTACTTCAAGGCCAGGTGACGGAGACCTAATACAAAATGACGGAGGCATCGAGAGAACCGGAACTCGGGGATCCCGAAAACCCTGACAAAACCGCGTTAAATCTGACGTCCAGCAAACAGAAGCCACTACCAGAACGTGGTACATGGAGCACCAAATTAGATTTTATTTTGAGCGTGGTAATGTTTCAAATATCATCGCTATCTTCTTACCATCGTGTCTCAATGACATTCGGGTCAACGATTAATTGACTTCTGTGTCCTAAAGGTTGGCTTGGCGATTGGTTTGGGAAACGTTTGGAGATTTCCGTATCTCTGTTACAAAAATGGCGGCGGCGCTTTTTTAATACCATACTTCTTGACGCTGGTGCTCGCCGGGATCCCGATGTTCTTCATGGAGCTAGCCCTTGGTCAAATGCTTACCGTCGGTGGCCTCGGTGTTTTCAAGATAGCGCCGCTTTTCAAAGGCATCGGTTATGCCGCCGCTGTCATGTCCTGCTGGATGAACGTCTATTACATTGTCATCCTTGCTTGGGCAATCTTCTACTTCTTCATGTCTATGCGAAGCGGTACGTTCCGTTGTTCAACTGGTATTCGTACGAAACAAAAAGTAACACGCGGTAGCAATCATGTTCAAAAATATTCTCGCATGCGATAACTTGGAAAATTGAAACAGAGCTGGCCTGGGGAAGCTGCAACAATTCCTGGAACACGAAGTACTGTGTGAATCCTTACGACAGGGACTCGTTGCCATGCTGGGGCAAAGCGACCAGGCATCATAAGGCCGTCAGCATTGTCCAGATATGTACTGTGAACGGCGTTAACATGACGGTCGCGGACCTCACCGACCCTGTGAAAGAGTTTTGGGAGTGAGTGCCCGATCTTATTCGACGAACGAAATCGAGAGATGATTTTGCACGCGCGTCTCTTTTCAGGCGACGGGCGCTCCAGATCAGCGATGGTATAGAGCATGTAGGGAATATCCGTTGGGAACTGGCTGGTACCCTACTTTTGGTCTGGATCCTCTGTTACTTCTGCATTTGGAAGGGTGTAAAGTGGACCGGAAAAGTCGTTTACTTCACCTCACTTTTCCCGTACGTCTTGTTAACGATCCTTCTGATTCGCGGGATCACCCTGCCTGGTGCCATGGAGGGCATTCGATTCTACATTAGTCCGAATCTCTCGAAATTAAGAGAGTCGGAGGTAAATGCGCAAGAGATTTATAGAAAATCAGCAAACTCGTTAAGAACCGTTTGCAATCGAACGTTTGTTTGTAATCGAACGTGTCTGTAAATATCTGTTGTATTTTCTAGGTCTGGATAGACGCGGTCACCCAAATCTTCTTCTCCTATGGCCTAGGCTTGGGCACGTTGGTGGCTCTTGGTAGTTACAATAAGTTCACGAATAACGTCTACAAGGACGCTTTGATAGTGTGTTCGGTGAATTCGTCAACCAGCATGTTCGCCGGTTTCGTGATATTCTCTGTAGTGGGCTTCATGGCCCACGAGCAGCAGAAACCGGTTGCAGAAGTAGCCGCTTCCGGTCCGGGATTGGCCTTCTTGGCTTATCCTTCCGCGGTTCTTCAGCTCCCGGGAGCGCCATTATGGTCTTGCTTGTTCTTCTTCATGCTTCTACTTATTGGCTTGGATTCGCAGTTTTGCACCATGGAAGGATTCGTTACTGCCATGGTGAGCTATACATTTAGCATGGGCTTCTTTTGTTGTGAATGAATGCTTGTACTGATTTTTGTGAATTCGTTGATTCAAGGTTGACGAGTGGCCACAGTTGCTTCGACGACGCAAGGAAATTTTCATAGCGATCGTATGCGTGCTGTCTTACATTATAGGACTCTCCTGTATATCCCAAGGTGGCATGTACGTCTTCCAGATCCTCGACTCGTACGCCGTTTCCGGATTTTGTCTTCTATTCTTAATCTTCTTCGAGTGTATCTCGATAAGTTGGGCATTCGGCGTCGATCGATTTTATGACGCTATCAGAGACATGATTGGATATTATCCCCTGATGTGGTGGAAACTTTGTTGGACGTTCACCACTCCCTTGATTTGTGTAGTAAGTTAATAACCAAATTTTCGCACTAATATTTTCAGGCGTAACATTTCTAAACAATCTACAAAAGACAATGTTTCGAGTATTTTAATCATAGTAATATGTGCTCGTACTTTTTCCTTGTGAGATTTAATGGAACTTTCAATATTAAACTTTGTCATCCAGGGAGTCTTCATCTTTAATTTGGTACAATGGACACCTGTGAAGTATTTAGATTATGAATATCCGTGGTGGTCCCATGTCCTCGGCTGGATAACGGCCTTATCATCCATGCTGTGCATACCTGGTTATATGCTCTATGCCTGGAAGACAACGCCAGGAGACGTCTTAACGGTAAATTACGAATCATACAGCGTCGTTCCACCTTTCGATCAATGTTCGAACTGACAACTGATAACTGATATCACTGTTTTATTTCCTACAAGAAATTCAAGCTGCTGGTACGAATAGAAGATGACGTAGCAAGTCTGCGAATGAAAATGGGCCAACCGTCGCTCGAATTGACACCCCTTTAACTGCCGCCGACCTTCCTCAACACCGAAAGGAATCAATCGTTTTGATTTTTACTATTTCTCCCTGACTATCATTAATTTAACGGGTTAACCAACGTAACAGTGTCATTTTTATGCTATCACTTCCCGTGTAATTCCTCGTAGGAGCGTCGTTTTTCGTCGACGCAAGGTGTGGACGTTCTTATGTTCCGCGATTCGAGCAATAACCGTATTATTCGAATGGGATATTGTTCTTTACCCTTTTTTGTATCATTGCTAATTGACTAGGTAACTGTTAGATTGTGGTTCGCAGGATAGGGTGTTCTCCTTAAAAGAAGAAAAAAAATCTACGAAACGACTAAAGTGTTCAGAAATCGCATCTAGTATATTAACGTAAGTGTATCGTTAGTTGTATTTATATAAGTACAAGAAATCCTCGGTATACGCGAATAGTTCGCAAACAGTTGTAATTATTATTATTATTATTATTATTATTATTATTATTATTACTATTATTATTTATTATCAGACTGCGGTCATTTTGTCCAGGAACAGGCTTTCATGAACTAGTTTACTGATTTAGATTTCAAGTAACACGAAAACTCTTTTGAATTTTATATATATTTGTTTACTTAGCTCCACTTTAAACAGCCACGCGTGCTGTAATTGCATAAAATCCGCAGTCTAAATATCATTATCAATGTCTTTATTAAAAGATCATGAAATCTCGAAGCTATTCGCGTAAGCCTGGTCACATGTAGCTACTAACTTATTTTAGTGGTATCGGGCATGTACGATAAAAGAAACTAACTGCACATTTTGAATTTTAGTTACAAAACATACGTATTTGTGCTGCCATAATTATCACTAGGCTGCGGATGTTTATGAGAAAGGAAATTTTCGTTCATCGATTTTTGAAGGCGAGCGATTTGATCCTCCACTCCTTTGGAAGCAAAAATAATTATTTGCAAAATTAGCAAAACACATTTTTTAATTTTATTATTGCGCTTTGTATATGCAAATATGTTATAAACGCATAAAATTCGTAGTCTTATTTGTTACATTTGATCGTCGAATTGAACGTTGAGCTGCGATGCTTTCTTCGTCTCACCTATAAAAAAATATGAAAATCGATGTCACGTCTTACACACAATTGTCCGAAGATGTTCGTGCAAATGTGCAAATCGTAGACTTGTGTAGAATCGATATGGTAGTAGATATCCATTATACTGTTAATAAGAAGTCATTATCGACCCGTATTAGATTAGTCGATAAATATTTAAAATGTTTTTCGGACGAAACTCAACTGTATATTTAATTAAAAATTACTATTATTAGCCGCCTGAATAGTAGCTATTAAAGTTACACACATCGAAAAAGGAAAATAGAAGAGAAGAATCTGTACGACGAAATTTTTTTTGGTAAATAAAGATTATCATTAAAAATCTTTTTGAAGTTTTAAGTATAACATGTGGGACACACACAATACAGAAAAATAATATAAACGTTGTGTGAAAATTTTCTTTTATTATTTATTTTTAACAAGTATAAAAAGTACAAAAGGTATATGATACAAGTAAAAACATATTGTTACAAAAAAACCTTTCATTATTTGCTTGCTTGTAAATATCTGCTACTTCATTGATTAAATTTATATTAAGTGAAATTTAACATTTCGAATAACGATTTTAAATTTCGTGAACTTCAAGATGGCAGTGCTGTTAATCTAACGGGTGAATGATAATTAGAACCTGAATAGCTTTTGTATCAGGTTTTAGACTTACATTCACGTCAAATTGCTTTCCACGTGAGTTTGACAAATAACTAATAAGCTTCGAAGAATATTGATTCTTCCATTTTATCGTCAACAGAAGTTTATGATAAAAGGAATTACACCCCAGTGAACACGTTAAATTAATAACATGATAGAGAAAAATGAAGATAATACCGACACCGATAGCAATCTTGACAGAAGAAAACTAATATCCGACAAGAAAACATTTTTGGAGAAACACTTTCTTGAGGTACCTTTCGTCTGTATCAGATGATTTTTTAAATAACATTTTAGGAAGTAATAAGTACTTTAAGGTTAAGTTTTAATTCTTTACAATCAATTTTTAATTTTGGAAACACTATTGGCAAGACATGAATTTTCTTGAAGTATTTTGTAAACAATTTGTTGTTATAATTTTAAGGTTCAAAAGGAAATCAAAGTTTCCTTCGCACAATTGGCACAGACATTATATGCTAGAGAGAAACAACTGTTACGGCAGTCAGAAGCACTTTATAGACAACAAATATCTTTGACATTATCAAATCCTGAAATTCTTCCTCCGTCTATAACAATATTAGATGATAGGAACACCCTTGAAGAACAAATTAAACAATTTGGAAGAATAGAACTGACAGGTTCTAACACGACAGTAATTACTGACTTAGAACCATATAAGATTCAGGAATATCAAGATATTAATAAAGATCATGTCAGCTTCGACAAATCTGTTAAAGGTTCAGAGGATGTTTCTCCTAATGGTGATATGGAAGAGTTATCTACAGTAGAAGACAGAAAGGTGAAAAATATCACCAATGGTTTAAAAACATTTAGCATAGAGTACCTAACAGAAAATACCAGTAAGATTTCTAATTTTCAAGACAAACAATCTGAAGAAAATTTGAACCGATCTCCAAAAATAAATCCAGACTTCAAAAACAATGATCTTAATTTCGAAAATGCCATTACTGAGCAACAGAATGATGGCACAATTCTCAGGAATTCTGGAAGAAATATTATGGAAGAGCAGCAAAATTCTCATGAACTGCCAAAGCAAGTTCAACAATGGTTAGATCAGATAGTTCTGGAAACAGAAACAGAGCCAACTATACATGAAGTAAAAAAACACTTAAAATAACAATGATATGTCTGCAAAAAGTTTTAACTGGAAACGTAAAATTGATATTTGATTAAGTGAACCATCATCTCACTATATTTTCTCTCATACATTTATTCCTACTTTTCTTGCAGACAACTAATTAAATTATTTTAATTAAATAACTTATGATCTTACCTCCTTTACATATGTGACTGTATTTATTTATTTGTTTGTTAAGCCAACA